TTTTTTTTTTTTTTGTAGTTAGACGGATTTAAGCCTTGGGATGAGTTGGAAAACAAAAATAGAATTTTGGGCACACTCAGCCCCTACAAACATTAAAGTGTCTCAAACAGCAGTAAATATAATTCATCAAGTCTGTCTAATTGTAAAAAATGACAAGGGGCAAATGAAAATATGAAATTTCTGTCGGACACATTCAGCCTCTATAAAGACTAAGTGTCTCAAACAGCAGTAAATATAATTCATCAAGTCCGCCTCATTGTAAAAAACAAAAAGGAACATAAGAAAAAATTTAATTTCTGTCGGACACATTCAGCCTCTATAAAGACTAAGTGTCTCAAACAGCAGTAAATATAATTCATCAAGTCCGCCTCATTGTAAAAAACAAAAAGGAACATAAGAAAAAATTTAATTTCTGTCGGACACATTCAGCCTCTATAAAGACTAAGTGTCTCAAACAGCAGTAAATATAATTCATCAAGTCCGCCTCATTGTAAAAAACAAAAAGGAACATAAGAAAAAATTTAATTTCTGTTGGGTACACTCAGTCTCTATATAGACTAAAGTGTCTCAAACAGCAGTAAATCTAATGCCTCAAGTCTGTCGAATTGCAGGAAACAAAACAGAGTCGTAAACGAAAACTAAATTTAGAGTGAAAAATAGGATTTCTATTATTGTTATTTCATTCTGTTTCGCATCTATCAGAATGATTATTTCAGAACATTATTTCTGAAATAATTATGTCATTAATCCTGAAATAATTACTTTTGGGAATAATTCTCAAGTTATTTCATGAAATAAATTATTTCTGAAATAACTGGAGAAGGTTATTTAACAATTTATTTCAGAAATATTATTTCAAATAAATTCTGCCCAGGTATAGATTATATATCTATTATCACATGTTGCACCAACAAAGTTTCAAACTCCAAACTAAATTTAAATTTAACTGGACAACAATAAACTTTTTTTAAGTTTATTTTTCAACTCATACCTGTCAGAGATACAAACAAACAGTGAATGTGCTGAGGGGAAATAGAATATGGAGTAAGAAATTGGTAGGTATGAGGGAGAGGAGTGCCCAGCAGCATCCCTTCTTATCTTGAATTTTAATATTTATACAAGAGATCCCTTGTTGAGCTTTTTTTAACCTCCCATGGGTGTTATCGGGCATGTTGGTTGTGGCCATGCCTTCAATCATTAAGTTGGTATGTACATGTAAGTTAATATGAAATCTTTTGTAGTGTGTTCATATGTAGTTAACTGTTGGCATCTATAGGTCTTTATATAAAGTTGATACTAGGTACTCTGCTACAAACAAGTAACATATATTATAAATTTAGTCCACATTTACATGTTTAAAATCGAACATCGAAACACAATGTATATCAACTTTGACTGTAACACTCAAAAGTTAACAACCTGATTTGCCTGTCTGTTAATCCGCCACTTTATCTAACCATTGTATGACTAATAATTTTAAAATTAACAAGTGAAAAAATTGAATCCCCATGTAACAAGTTAACAGATATTTTGACCAACACATAATATAATTATGTGTGTATTAATATACACAAGTAATGGTACTTCGATGCCAGAGTTGCATCTTTTGCTTACCATATAGGGATGGCACTGTATAGTACAGTTGACTAACAACAATCAAGAAGTCCTTCAATGTTATATTTTATTGCGAGGATAGGACTTATCAGGTAACACTCCATCAGCTTTAAAATATTTTTAAGCAAATATTATCTCTTTCTTCCATAACATATATATAAAGGGTGCCCTGTAAATAATTGAAGAGATGATAGTAGATGTGAAGAGAAACTAAACAGTACACAAAAACAATGACCCGATTCAATAATTTCAAGTTTTTTTTTTTTTTTAAATAAGCCGTGTAGTTTTTATAAGTAATGATAGCTCATATATGATCTGTGGTTGAGGAGGAAGGAAACACTAGATGATAGCATGTATATACTATTGGCGATATCTTACTGTACAAAGCTGTTACTCGATGGGTTGGTGGGACGACGGTGGCATGGAATTTTTTTAGTATGCAAATATTTTTTTTCAAATTGGAAATAAATATACAGTGGATATCGTTTATAATGAACTTGAAGGGATAAACTCTGTCGTTATAATGATTATGGCCGTTATGTTCATCCAGCTTTGACTATCAATAACTGCACTGGTAATGAATAAAATTTAAGCATAATGGTCTTAAAACAGTACTTTTTTGAAAAGAAAATATACCAATACTGTCTACTATTTGTAATGTATACATCTGGGTCAATATTGAACTGACAAGCATTCATTCCTTCGACCCATGGTGCTCCTTAAAAGAGCATTTATTAACCAGAAATTACACAGCTGGTTTCATATGGATAATTATTATACTCATTATAGTAATAATGGAACTAAATTACTTATGAGAAACTACATTAATATTAGAATCCCCCCGTAACTCACTATATTTTATAATGAAGAAAATCAGAGCTTTATATGTCAAGTATCAACTTTTACCTCCTCTCAGTTTATGAAAACAAAATAAAAGCGATAAAAATAAATTATTTATCTAAGTTTAATTTTCTAAAATAAAAAATCCTGATCAAGCTTAAAAAATGCTTCCTCAAAAACATTATATTTGTTATTTAAGAGATTGATTTTTTTTTTTCTCAAATTATGTTGTATAAATCGTATAAATAAAAACGTCGCCACTAATAAAAACCTTATAATGACAGAGTCCTGAATATTTATCACCCATGATAAATAAATTTAGTTATAAATTATGCATTTTTAATATTTGTGTTCCCCCGATATATTAGTCAGGGAAAACTAACACTAAATAGAGAAATGACAGGGAATTTTACTTAAACTGTCTGGTAGTCACCCTGGGTGGGATGGAAGATCTTTATCTTTACCGACAGGCGGAAATACAAGCACTAAGCAATTTCACTACAACATATTAAATTTTTAGGGATGGTTGTTCAGTCCTCAACAACCTTTCAATGCATAACATTCTTTATTGAATGAGTATCAGGTCACTCTGGTATTTCTGGTAACGATGTGTTAAGTTCTATATTTTATGAAATTGTAGCTTATTCCCAATTGTTTCCTATGGCTTTCTACTGGACCACAGGTTCTCCACTTTAAGAAAAACTTCCTTGTTTAACAAGCTTTAATTCAATATTAAAAAATAGAGCTTTGGCATAGTATAAGACATTCATATATGGTGGTGTCGAAAAAATTTGGTCTCCTCGAAGTACAGCTGCTTTCAGCAAAAATAATTATAAAGAGCTTTTATTTATTTTAATATAACCTGGAATGAGTTATGATACATTAATTATGGAGATATAATTTTTAATTTAAAAAATTCTGTTTTTTCAAATCATAAATATTAAAAAAAAAGTATTCAAAGTATAGTATAATAGTACTTTTTACAGAGATCTTAATTATAGGTCTTGTTCCTTAGTTGAGTTCACCGGTCGCCACGGTCTGCTCCCCGCCATTTTTTATAACCTGAACACTGATAATGTAATAATCACAAAACACTTTTACTTTACATTTCATTTATTTTGGGAAACAAAATAGCTTAATGCTATTTAAAATAGTATGAAATGGGCCATCTCTTCTGTGAACCTGGTATTAACAAACAAATATGAATTGCCTTGCAGTTCCTCGATGTTTTTTATTTTTCCCCTTAGCTGAGCCCAATAATCAATCATTCTACATGTTGAGTATTGGGCCCCACTTGAAGGATCAACAAAGCTATATTGGTGATTCACCTGGAAATGGTTGTATTCTTTCCAACAGTCAGAATATAAAGTGGTTCTCTCTTCTATGTTATTTTTAATACATTCTAATAGAGTTGTTTTTCTGTCTTTTATTTTTACAATGAAACACTCGTCTGTTTCTCCGCCACATCCATTGTTCTGGGAGCACTTTCCAGGTCGTAAAATTGTTTTAGTTGTTGCTTTTCTGGCAAAGTGTTAATGTATCATTTTTAAATATAAAATAACAAAGTTAACAAAAAACAATTGAAGAACGCACAAGTAACTAGTAGAGACAAGTGATAATAACATTATAGGAGACAAGAAGGTAGGTTTTTGGCAACCAGCTAAGTCACAAGTACCTACAGGACCAACTAGATATCCTATCTGCTGATCCTAATTTTAACATTTATATTTTCATGAAAATAATGTAGCAATTTTTTATTGCTAGAGGATAACAATAAAAATTTATTTTTTTTAAAACATAATTTTTTTTCTCATTAAAAAATGTATTTTCATAATGAATATATCACAATTTATCGGAGGCTACATAAACAAATATCTGGTGTGTCCACTGACATAACTTTCCTACAATTCTTAGGCAAATTTAAAAATTTTTAAATATGTCCATTAAAAAAAAAATGGATTAATTTTTTTCGTTGTAAAGTAGGATTTCTATAATGAACCAAAGAAATGTGTAACATCCCTGGATGTACATAATATAAAAAAAAAATAGTACCTTCTATCAACATGAAAAATTCAATATATTATAACTTATACCGACACTTTAAAGACAGAATTTCATATCACATATTTTGTTTACAAAACTAAAGACAAATTTTTGTTTATACTGTAACAAACCTCTAATTAATTAATATAGAATTAAAGCTTATTAAACAAGTAAGTTTATCTAGATGAGGAATCTGCATTGTTAGAATAACTGTTGAAAATAATTGTAAATAATCCACTATTTTCTTAAAACAAGAGCTTTTGATGCAATTGATAATTATCCAATTAAATGTTTATTTTTTTAGTTATCACTTCCTATTCAACAAAAAAGTGACATAATTAAAATTTATGCTTTTATGAGTAAAATTGGACCACTGTTTATTTGAACTTTTTATACCCCTTGAGGTATAACTTTTTAAATATTTCCCATTACTTATAGGACACTGTACGCCCACTTTCTGAATGGAAAAAAGGAAGATGATCTAGGAAAAGCAAATAAAAAAATTCTTGAATTTGCTATGCAATGTTTAATAAATGTAAATTTTTTTTTAAATTAAATTTTATACAGGTTTAATCCATTATATAATGATTCTGCAGTTTGTGAATATATTTATAAATACAATTTAAATAAATTCTATTTAAATTTATAAACTTGGAATTTTTATATAGATATGCCAGTATTTGTCTGACAAATATATAAAATATATATATAAATATATGGACAAGAAATATACATCACAATTTCGCTTCTCATCCAATTCGAACTGCATTTAGATCAGATCCAGCAATCACTTAAATAGAGAGAAGTCCCGAGATTAGTAATTCCTCTGTTGGTTAGCAACCCCTTTTTCACTTCCTCTAGTATCTTTCTCTGTCTCGACCCCTTCCGCCTCTGCCCCTATTTCCTCCACCTCCTTGATAGTAATTGCCACCGGTTCCTTGATAGTTATCCTGATAGCCTCTCCCACCTCCATGATAGTTGTCCTGATGGCCCCTGCCTCCTTGGTAGCTGTCCTGGTGACCCCTGCCTCCTTGGTAGCTGTCTTGATGGCCTCTACCTCCTTGGTAGCTGTCCTGGTGACCCCTGCCTCCTTGGTAGCTGTCTTGATGGCCTCTACCTCCTTGGTATCCATCACCACCGGAATTCCATCCACCTTGGACACGACCTCCACCACGGCCGCCGCCTCGTCCACCTCCACCTCCTCCACCGCCAAATCCACCACCACCAAATCCACCTATGGACATGAATCAGTAAAATTTTGACTAGAGAATAAATGTGAAGACTGTATGTATAATTTCAAAAATGTATTTTGTGGCAAAGTCCCAGAACGAGGAACTGTCCAGATATAATACACACAAAAAAAAAAAAAAAAAAAAATGGGGACCAGAATCCAATATTATTTTTCAGATGAAAATTTGGATAATTTTACAATAAATTATTTTATTAATTGAGACTATAAAGGCCTACTTTCTACATTTACTAAATAAAAGTCTCTTTCCCATTATTATCATTTACTAATATATAATTATTTTTAATAAAAATAAATATTTATAATAAATAATCGAGCGGAGAAAAATGAAAACACAACAAAATATTTAAGTATGGGAAGATTACCTTGCGGTTGGTTCGCTCGAGGTGCCCAGCTTGGCATCTCTGGAGGAGGCGGCTGCTGGTCCTGTGGCCTTCCACCCCGATCCGGAACCTACGTTTATCAATTTCATAATTAAGTATAAATAACTAATAATATTGAATTCTTAATAGTATTTTGTATTTTAGAGGAAGGAGATGGCCCAGGATGGTGGTTATAAATAGACCAAAATAGTGGAAAAACTATTTTTCAAGCCAACGCTTCAACCCGACTTTGTAGATCTTCTACAGGGAGGTGTGTTCAGCAAGGAGTTTCACTGAAACAGTTTTCTATGTGAAACTCCTTGCTGAACACACCTTCGTGAAGACCTACAAAGTCGGGTCGAAACATTGACTTAAAATAAAATGGTTTTTACACTATTTTAGTCTATTTATAACCACCATCCTGCACAATCTCCTTCCTCTAATTATAATAATAAATAAATATATAAATAATTATTAATTTCCATGTGAAAAAAAGGGCACTAAGCCTTCTTATTGGTGTAAATTTAAGTGATTTATACTTTCACAAACTTAATTCATCTTTTTACTTTCTCTTACCTATGATGTATGTAATATATAGTAAGGGAAAGTATTGCGATCTTGAAAATTTTTGAATCTGAGTTTTCAACGGAAATACAAGTTTTGGAGGTCCTCTGAGTCTATTAGTGTGTGTGTATGCATGTGGTAAATCTAGCTCAGAAACGAAAAGTCGTACGAAACTGATATTAGGTATTTAAGATAGGTATATGCCTTGGATGTGACAGCAACTTTATCGTTAAAATAGATTTACCAGAAGTGGCACTTTATATCAATGGTGATACACATTTTTACAATTTTCTCAAAAACGGCTCCAACGATATGGTTATACTCGGCGTATCATTGCATAATTAAGAGGTCTTTAATATCATTGAGGTCTTATTCCAAACAATGACACTTTAAAGGGCTTAAATGCTCAACATGTCTTCCTCTGAAGTAGCTTTAATTTGGTTTATTTTAAATAATTAACTATCTCTCATTATTAAGAATTATGAAAAAATGATAAATATAAGTTTTGAAAAAAATTTATATTCGAATAAAGAAGAAAAAAAGAAAAATGCTTATCCAGGTCAAAAATGAATTTCTGGAAATACTAGTAAGAAGGAATAGGTATAATACATCATTGGAAAGCGGAGAATTTTAGAAAAAACAATATCTAATATGGAAAGTCGTAGAAGGTAATGGAGAGTGACGAAAAATTATAAATAATAATTTGTTAAAACTAATATTATTTAACAGAAATCACATGTGTTCAAGGAAACTACATGACATTTACCAACTAAATATAAACTTTTTTTTAAGTTATTTAAGAAAAAGTATTTAAAATCCACCTAATCAAGGCAAAGGCATGGTTTAAAAAACTATTTCATAGTAATTATGTCAAAGATGAAGTGAAATATAAAAATATTTCATGGATGTATAAAGCATATGTTTATAACCTTAAATACGTTTACTGTAGTTTAATATTTCTAGATCTGATATTACTTTTAAATAATTAGGAATCAACCATTTATTCCAAAAAATCGTCATGTAACCTTTTAGAAAATTAAATAAGTTAATAATTTAATGAATTTTCATCCAAAACATTAACCACTTAAAATTAGTGTGACAACTTTTGACCTATCTATGGCAGGCAATGAAAATCTCGTAAATTCATTTTAGTAAACGGATACAATTAGTACAAATAGAGTAACGAGGTTTTTATTGTCTACCATTGATATAATTAATAGGGTTTTTATTATTATACTTGTCTTAACAATTTGTTAGCTGTAATAGCTACAGTTCCGTTGAAAGTGCACTTCAAAAATTTTATAATTGCTCAACATTGCCAGAAAATAATTTCTATTCAAAGTAGAGAGATAAGTGAAAGTTGTGTGTTCTGCGCACCAGATTTTTTATTTTAAACTTGTTATAGGTGTAGCTTGGTTGAGACTCGAAAAAGTATGAATATTAGATAAATTTTTTCATTGCCCTTTCCACAATTTTTATTTCCAAACACTTACAAACTAACGTTTCAGTGATTAACCATATTCAGCAACCTCCGCTTATTTATTCTTTTAATTTTCCTGTTTTTTCATTTTATATAATTTAAAATTGTAAAATACGAATAAAATTGATGACATGAACTATTGCTTCCAGTTAGCCGATTTTAGTGAAAAAGTCAAAGTGTAACATCCCAGGCATATACAAGCCTTTTAAATGTGATTTTCCAGTTTTAAACTAAACTTTTCACAAATACATAGACTTGTGTGAGATTTAGTTATTTGGACTCAGGAATTTCAAAACGTGTATTTCCTTTGAAAATTTTTCAATGATTGTAATTCTTTCCCTTACTATATATTTCATATAAGGGTAAGTGAAAGTAATAATAAAAAAAAATTTTAAAAACAAAAAACAAGATTGATCTGGATGATTAAGGTTTGGATAATCTACATTTTGCTGTATATATATATTTTTTTAGGATAACTAAATATTTTGAATGGAGTTCTTCAATCTTATTTTTTTAAAAATCTAGTGTGGTGCGCGCATCACACAACTTTCACTTACCACCCTATTTGAGTTAAAATAGGTATTTTCATCATTTGATGTTTTAGGCTCAAAACATCTATGTCCTTACCACCCAATGAATAAACTAATACTACTGTTAAAATATTTAGCTGGTAGGAACTGAAATTAAAAATTATTGATGGTACAATGTCTAATCTATTAAATGTATGCGTTTTTTCGTCACTAAGTATTTTATTTTACAACTGTATATTTTAATTCCCTTACCAGGGATTACTTATTTGATTACCAGGGTGGTTTTAGAACAAATCAATCAAATTCTTGCACTTAGACAGATCATAAAAAAAATGAAAGAGTATAATAACTCATGTGGATGCTCTTCATTGATTTTAAGGCGGCGTACGACACGGAGGTTAGAGAGGAGCTTTGTTATGCAATGTATAAATTGGGCATACCAGCAAAGCTGATTCATTTAACAATGGAAGGCACCGTCAGTAGAGTTAAGGTAAAAGGAAGAATTGGCGACTTCTTTGCAGTTTGTTCATGCCTCAGGTGACTCATTAGCCCCACATCTCTTTAATATTGCCCTAGAGAACATCATTAGAAGAGTGAGATTAAATAACAGAGAAACAATATTCCACAGAATAACCCAACTGCTCGCGTATGTTGACGATATGGTCATTGCAGGGTGATCCACTTCCATCAGTGAAGAGTGCATTCAGTAGGTTGGAGAATGAGGCAGGGAAAATGGGGCTACGCATCAACAAAAATAAACCCAAGGTCCTTGTTTTAAGGAAGAAAAAGCTTGTCCATCCACTACAGCACTATGTCTTGGGAAACCATACTTTTCAAGCTGTATCAAGCTTCACCTACCTTGAGTCCATAATTAACAATAGCAATAACGAAGAGGATGATACAGGAGCTAGAATAATGGCTGCCAAAAGAGCATACTTTTCTCTTAGTCTGTGGGCCAGACCCCCTTACCATGCACCCCCGCCCCCTCCACATCCCTATAAATTGCATATCGTTGTGTTCCTTGTGACAATTTATTAAAAAAATTTATTATTATTTTTTTTATTCATTATTATTTATTTTTTAAAATTTAACTTCCTCTATTATATATGTATGCATATATATATGTATGTATATACATATATATACATACATACATACATATATATATATATATATATATATATATATATATATATATATATATATATATATATATATATATAGAGAGAGAGAGAGAGAGAGAGAGAGAGAGATAAGTGAAAGTGATAAAATTCATATTTAAAATACCCCAAAACGTTTACTTACCCTTCCAATTATAACTTTGTTTAACGACGACTGAGTATTCTTTCTAACATTTGAATTTGATGTCTTCTCCAATATAGCAAGGTGTGCCCTGGAAGCCAATAGATCTGACAGTAATACGGATGGCTCGTCCACAAGTGCTTTCCTTTTGTCCAAATATAGCTTCGCTATTTCATTCTCTTTTCCTTTCATCCTTTCAGACCACTATAAAAACAAAAAAATTTAAAAACTATTAGTCTAGCAAAAATTGGAAAATCATATATTTTTTTTTTATTGCAAAAATGTACATGTACATATTGACACATTATTTTTTTTTTCATCATGAATCAAGTGTTCAAGAGCTGTGAAGAGAAGCAGAAAGGATGGGGCAGTCCACTAATAAAAATAAAACCAAAATTATGGCACTCGGGAAGAAAACTTCTCTGAACTCGCCAAAGCAGTAATTAATCACATTATGGCAAACCAAACGTTCCAGTGTGTGAGCATTCTCATATATCTCGGCTCCATGGTTAATGATCGAAGAGAAGGCAATCTAAAACTGTACAATGGAGGTTGACATAGCATATTTTGGCTTAAGAAGTTTTTTCTGCAGTAAAATCTTAAGTTAGGGTACCAAAATGATCCTGTACAAAACAATCAACTGACCCCTCCCCCAGTCTGATCTAGGTCTAAGCAACTTGACCATACGCAAAACTCAAAATATTGACAGGTTTGAGAGAAAAGTTGAAGACAAATCGAAGCGCCTGTAAGAAACAATGTGGCCTACCACTTGAGAAGAGACAAAGAGATCTACGACCTATACAACAATCTCTGTACTTTCAGATTCGTATAAATTCAGCAGTACAAATGGCTGGGACAAATGTGGATGGATTCAAATGGACAAATCAGGATGAATGATCCCAGAGAACTAGGCAATTATATTATTATGGAACTCCACCAGCATTTTTGGAGCTACAACCCATGTGGGGTCAAGGTCTCCTGTAATATTAGTCACTAGGCGTTTTTGTTCCAAGGAGCCGATTTCCAGTCTTGGATATGAAGGATGGATCTTGTGTCAGCCAAACCCAGAGTTTGGGTCTTCCAATTAGTCCAGTGAATACCTGTTCAATGAGAAGCTTCTTTGGAATTTAAGTCTTCACTGTTTTAAAAACATCTTTCAAAATATTTTAATTACTAAAAATGAATTTACACTGCTCAAATACTTGCAAACAAGTCAAAAATCCTCACCCATGCAAATAATTATATTTGAATAAATTAGTAATTTAAAATCATTGATAAAATGATTGGCAAATTCAAGCAATATTTTTTCTTCTGATTCACCCCCAAGACATTTATTAACTTCCAAAAAACTAAATAAGTTGGAATATGGTAAAGTTATTAAAAGATTAACATGATAAGCATTAAAACAATCAAAAATTTTCACGATCACAATACTTTCCGTTATTTCACATGTAGATAAGAGAAAGTAATATGCTTATGGGGAAAAAATATAGGTAGCAGTAATTTAAGAATAGAGTAAAATTCAATAAGAAGAATTTTACATCATCAAATGAACTGAGATTGTAATAAAAAAATTAAATAAATTTATTCAACTTAATGAAAAAATAAATATTTTTTTACTTGGAAAGATTGAATAGTAACATCAAGCCTTTTTAACAACATTTGCCTTCTAATCCGATATTCCTCCTTAAGATCATCTTGCAATTGAGAGAGGACATTCCACTGCTTCGGTGATAATAGACCACAGAACAAAGGGTCATTGATACATTTATCAGACAATTCTTTCACCTGTAAAGGATAAATAATTATGTTACGTATTGGTGGTCGACCATATGGTTAATAAAGGGGTGATCAGTGTGGTGGTCAGGAAATACATAAAATAGTAGTAGGAATTTATTTATCAAAAAAAAAGGAGACAAGAAGGCACCAACATCTTGTTTCAGCCCTGAAGAAGACATAAGATGTGAGTTTTGGGTTTGATAAATAGTTGCCACAACTATTTTATATTATTATTTACCACCACATGCAATAAATTAATAACTGAAAGTATTGTATGACAAAACAGAAACGATAACCTCAATTCTTGAGAAGTGCAAAAACAATTAAAAAATCAAAACATACATACCTTGTTCTGAACTTTCGTGAAGAGCATTTGAGCAGTAATGTTAGAAGGAGGTTTAGGAAAACTCAGTGCCATGAGCATTTTTCTCATTGATGCTGCACTGTTACTTTCATTCTGAAAATTTAAATAAATTGTATCTAAGATACTGAGACAAATTTTCCAAGCACCTTGGCACATGAATAACAATACTTTACACACTGACTTATGCATTCTGATTGTCAAAGAATACAAACATCACAACAATTTCATGATAAGTTGAAGGAATACTAACTAGCTATTAAAAGAAATTATTTAATTAAGAAATTTAAAAAAATGGCCACAATTCTTATAGAGGAAAATACCAGAAGACGTCTGAAAAGGGTCTGGGTGAGAGACCTACTTACATAATTCTGTAAGCAAATTAAAACCGTGGAAGAGGTACCTCTGGGTACTGATTTTTCTTAATTTTATCTTTTTTTTTTTTCATCTCATTATTTAGCCAACACATCTGCTGATTGTTGAGAAATGTAATTAACAGGCACTGATTGAAAAATAAAAAATGTTTACGATTCATATCTTTTTACATAAACCTCAATTTTAAAAAACGGACAAACAACCAAGGTGATTTTTTTATTCTACTATTAAAGAAGTAATACAGAATCACTTTGACTAAATACAAGATGGTCTAGATGATCTGAACCCGTAGATTGCATCGCTTGTTTAGATTATCAAAGTGTTCAGTTGATCAAAGGTTTAATTTAAAATGATCGAAAAATTGCACAAGGTAAAGAAAATATATGTATATATTATCAGTTTAACATGAAAACATTGCAAACAAAAACATTATTTCTGAAAATGATCATATAGTGTATGTTGAGCCTCTGATTTTGTTGCTAATGAAAACACTTGGTCTCACAAATTTCTTAAAAGTATCAGGATGTTTTATCCATTTGCCTACTCCAAGCAAGTAATAAATGACTTTAGGTTGTTTCTATTGGTTGTATATAATGAAAAATAAAATGGGTTTAAAGAAATAAAAAATACCTGTTTTGAAATTATCAAGATAACCTTACTGGCATTAAAATCTGCTTTGTCATCCTACTTAAAAAAATGTTTAAAGCAAATCTTTGGCTTTGCAGCTAATATGTTCTTGAAAATTGGACACCCTCGTGATCTCTGCTGGAAAAACCACGTAAAGAGATTCCTTAAGTTTTGGATGACCACCTAGTTTTAATGTTTTTCTTTTAGATACACAACATTCCGATATTGAAACTACCACATGAAGCAATTTCAGTAATATGTACTAAGAAACAGAACCATTTCCATTCCATCTCTCATCGGTCAACATTAACTTTTTTTTCTTCGGATTAATAGGAGTTCAGATTATCGAGACCGTCTTTTATTTTATAGCATATACCTCTGTGCTTTTAATTCTTTACTAGACTTTCTCTATCTTGACTGTATTGCCCGCATGAAAACAATTGAATGGTAAGAAGAGTAATACACGTGTCACTATTTTTTTTTTTTTTAATCTAATCATATGTATAAAAGCTGAATGCATTCTTCCAGAGTTGGAATACTAAAAAAGAAATTTAATAAACAATATCTAATGTTAATTTTCATTTTCCAACTCCTTGTAAGAAACTAACTAATTAAAAGGTTCCCAAGCTACTGTAAGTGTGTGACTGGTCGTAAGCAAGAATGTTTCACGTGGTAAATGAATTAGCAAAAAAAAGGCATAAAAATTTTTTTAAAGCTTTCAATGTGCGATAACTTTTTAAATGTATAAATAAACCATTATAATATGAACCAACTTAATATTAATAATAATATACAAAGCTGATGGTAATAAAGAAAAAAACACTAAGTGTTAAAGGGGACCTAGAAATGAAGTTTGTTTTCATATAGGTTAAAGCACACACAGGGATACCAAAAAATGAAAAAGTAGACAATTTGGCAAAAGAGGCTGTACACACAGGTGAGACTGTAAAATCGTGAAACACTAAATCATATTGTTATGAAATGTGAGGTTTATGAATTTTTGAGAAGAAATCTTGTCCAATCCCTAATCAATAGCAATATAATACTGTCATTGAGCAGTAGAGAGCAGATAATCAGCGTAATAAAATATTTTAAAGCAATTAAAAAATATACTTAGTTTAAAATGACCTAATAACTTTAACATATATTTTTAGACGTATGGATTTATACAATATCATTTAAAAAAAAAAAAAAAAAAATCAAGTTGAGCTTCATCAATCATTTATGCTATGATAGCAAATAATGTTATCATCACAAAAATATAGATTCATTCCTTCACATTGTCCAAATTTCTTACTTTTGCAGAATATACTTTTATTTGCAGAACTTTTGGTGCATTTTCAATTTTTTTACTTTTGCGATTGTCATGTAAATTAATGTAGGAATTTTATACCTTATTTTGAAGTTATGTACAGCTAAGTTAAGTATGAACTTAAGAAAATATACTGTAATCAATATGTTTCATTTTGTCAAATAAATTGGAATAAAATGGATTTTTTTTTTAATGGTGATCTTTAAATACTAATTTAAGATCCCCGGAGGTGCACACAGTTATCTAAAAACTAGAAATGGCATAAAGTGATATAAGATTTGAGAGCCCTTAAAGTAATTGATAAGCACTCCATCTAATAGATACATGGAATAATTGTTTTAATTTAAGGCTAATTTTTGTTATTAATTAAAACAATGCCTAAGAAGAAACAATACTACAAATACATTAAGTTACTATCCAGAGAGCAAGACATATGAAACACTTTACCTCTAATAAATATACTTTTGGCTATCTAAGCACCAAGCAAGATTTATTGTAAGCTAAGTCATATATGTTACGGACCATGAGTCAATAGTTCTAGAGCACTTAATTTATCTTACACTCATTTAACAATTAATAAAAAAACTTTATGTCTCGGTAAAATAAGTGATAACTATATGATCAAATTGCAAGCCTAGAGTAAATATTGCAGAAGATAAAGCTGAAATTAAAACTTCTGTCCACTAATATATAAAAACAAAAACATTAAGTAGTTATAAAGAATAAAAATATCAATCACAAATAATCTTAAATGATAAAATTAATTAATTTATATTTCATTGTTCTAAGCTAATATACTTACTAGGGTTAGTTCAATATCATTACTAGATGGCTTTTTTGCATTTGTAATTCTTGCAGCAAGGACCTCTGATATCAGGAAGTCAAGGAGTAAATACCTATCATTACTAGTTTTCAATCTGTTATCAATGTTTCCCTCAGTAAGATTTTTGTAAGTGCAACCTTAAAATAAATAAATTTTAATAAATAGAGATTAAATAAATCTTATTGGTACATCAAATTAATAAAACTTGCTACCTAGTTCTTTTAAGAAACTGCTCAACTCTAATAAAAAGGAACTGGTATCATCTGAGGTAGTAATAGCATTTACATGTTCATCTAGCTTACAGAAGTACTGAAGCTCTTTAGTTAACCATTCCACTAATTTAGTAAATTCTACTGATACTGGCCATTCTTCAACTACTTTCCTTAAGGTTGCCTCATCCAATGGGTATCTATCAACAAATACTTTTAATAAATATTTAACGTAAATACCAAATGTAAAATAAAAACAATGTCACTCACTGGATGAAAGTTACACCATCTAAAACGTCTAGATCCATGAAAAAAAAACCGTACTAGAACGACTTGAAGTCTTACTGCCGGTGTAACCTACCTACCTTACCAAAGCATTGGTGCAGTTTCCATAGAGCTACTGTATATAACCTAAAAAATGTATATAATATATTTATTAATATATTAGTTAGTTAACAAAATTTTGAAAACTTGGGCGTAACGAGGGGGGCGAGGGAGCAACAGCTCCTTTCAAATTCGGAATAAAACAGCAACAAATTTCTAGAAAAAATATTAACAGATTGGTTGTTAGTGTAAATAAATTTTGAAAGAAATTAATTACGAAATAAATAATTATTTTCCCAAAATTAAATTTCTAGCCTACCTTCTTAACTATTCTCCCCTTTAAGTTATGAGCACTAAAATGTGTTAAGAGACTATTGAAGATAAATCGTTAGTGATCAATTGAAGTGTCTTAAAGTTTAATGTAAAAATTTAATCTGATAAACAGTGAAACGATGAGGTAGCATTCACTCTCCTCAGTTTTTTTTTTCTTTTTTTTTTTGTGGCTTTATGAATGGGCATATTAGCCAATATACCAATTCATATTTCATACCAATTCATATGCTTATTAACATTTTTTTGTTATTAGAAGTAATAAGGTTATATAAGGCGTAAATAATTGTTGGTCTATGAGTTAGTGTAAGGATTGTAGGAATTGTTGTAGGTTGGGAGATATTGTTTTTGATGAGAAAAAGGTAGAAAGATGGTTTGTGGATGTATTTGGACAGGAAAGGAGGACATAGTTTTCATCGGCTATTGAGGAGTGGTCGCAGGAGCAACAGTGAGAGTCCAAGATTTTTATTTTAAAGAGATGGGACGGTAAGCTATTGTGGTTGAGGCGAAGGCATGATATGGAAGTTAGGAATTTTCTGGAAGCTCTATAGGGTCAGAATAAAGGAAATCGTGAGATTTGAGTTTGGGAAGCTATATAATAACGCTCTTTCGCGCTGGTAGAATATTCTTTTTGCCATTTCTGTTGCCAGTATCTATTTAAGTGAGCCTTAGTATCTCTCGCTGATACATACAGTCGGCGATTACCGGTAAAAGCCGCTTCTCTAGCAAGCTTGTCAATCTTGTCATTAATTACCACTATGTCTATAAATATATGTCTATAGCCACACTATGTCTATAGCCACTATGCATATATACAATATGTCTATAGCCACTATGTCACTATATATTACCATTATGTCCATTTATGCTCCTATTATCTAACTGGCATAGTAAATTAAATATTTCAGATATAATAGCATGAGAGGAGCTGTGAACATTCTTGATAGAGGAAACACTTTGGCTATCAGAGAAAATAATCACACGAGAAGGTTCTGCAGATAGGGCACACTTTATAGCCTCGAGTATTGCTACAGCCTCAACGATAAATGTGGAAGCTACCCGCGGTAGCTTTAAGTACTCTGATGTATCTTCTAACGAGTTATACAAAACTGAACCAACTTCAAATCCTTGCTTGGGGCCATCAGTCTATAATGTCAACGCTTGTTCACAATACCCAATGAAGGCCGCTTCTTTTAAATAGGAAGAGAAAACTGACCAGTTTGATACTTTATTGGAATCTGGAATAGCAAAATTAGTATGACTGAGGATAGAAAAACATTAGTAAGTAATCTGGGATGAGAAAGAGATAAATTAATAGAAAGGATTAAAAGAGCAAGTCTTGTATAATTGCTGACTATTAGAAATGGTTTCTTTTTTTGCCAAAATCTATGGAAATTTACCTGCTCAGCTAGTTGCTTGATATGCCAGACTGTTGGATGATATTAATTCTCGATAAAGAAAATCTTCCTGAAATTAGTTTCCCACGAAATTTCAGCGAGGCTTCTCTAGCTTCTATCTGAAGGGCGTTTGTTGGGGTACGCCGCATTGCTCCTATACAAACCCTAAGTGATTTATATTGTATCTTATATAGTTTATCTAAATAAGATTTTGCTGCATCACCATATAATTGAGAACTATAATCCAATCTTGATAAGATTAACGCCTTATAAAAGAGAAGGGATATACTTGGATGGGCTCAAATCGAACTTTTGAGACATATCTTATTATATTCAACACTTTTTCCCATGAATTGCATAAGAAATTAATATGATTACGCCACAGCAGTTTCCGGTCCAGCAAAACACCCAGTGATTTGAAATTTTCTGTGATATTAAAAGCAAATGGACCTAATTGTATGTTACCAATTATTGAACTATGCTTGCGGGAAAAAAAATTATATGGTATGGTAAATATATATATATATATTGTATATATATATATATATATATATATATATATATATATATATATAGTAGGTTTTACAATATTTATGATAACATAAACATAAATATCACACATGATTTTCATACAGGATATATACTCCCAAGATTTTTTTGGGGGTCGGAGGACAGGAGCAGGTGTGTCCATAAAATGTTTTGATGGCTCTAGTTGCGCCATCAAAATTTTTGAGGGGGGTCATATATTGACGGGTTTATTAATTTTTGAGGGGAGGATTTTGACGGAGTTATGAATTTTGGGAGTAAGAAACAAGGGGAAAAAATTTATATGATCTACAATTTTTCTAATTCTACCTTAGCTTACTCTGTTTTTAGGAAATGGTGAGCAATCAAATATCTTGGGAGTCCATCGCCCCCAAACCAGAATGAAAAGTCTGCTTCTGTGCTCGGGACCTACGTTTTTCCCAGCCGTGCTTGAATCTTTCATTATCACTTCACGGATTATGAAGATTAAAACTATTTTAACAATTTGGAACAAGCAAAGAATTTTTTTTTTTAAATGACCAACTCTCCTTGCCGTACATACTGTAATTAAATTATTTCTGGCAAAAGAAATCACTCGGTGATACAAATGTCTTGAATACCTGAAAACAAATATAATGCTTGAGAGGCTCATGGCGATATATTTCAGGATCCCTCTTGGTTAGAGTGGGGGACGACTGTGTGTGTTTGTGTGGATAGGGAGATGGCCCCCTCCCACACTTCTCTTCCCCATTTTCTCTTTAAGACAAAATGACAATATTTTATTGGCTTTAATTATTCGGTTGAAGCGGTCAACACTCTCCACTCCTCCCCATTTTTTAAAAAGAAAAATAGTAATATTTTATGACATTAGATGAACTATTTTAATATTATTATTTCTTCAAAAGTTTGTTTTTATATATTATTTAATAACAATTATTTTATTTTTAAATATAAAACAATTGCAGAATAAGAAAATAATCAATGTGGAAGGAGAAATATTTAATGTGGAGAGGCAAGATAAACTTTATGTATTACACTAATATTAAGGTTACTTCATATAGTCAATAAAATAAATTATGGAAACATTCAATTTCTATACATTCTCATAACAATGTAATTTTGAAATAAACAATTGATAAATAATTAATTACTAGTTTTATGGAAATTATTATTAATATATTGACTTATAATCAAATGTCATCATCATATGTGGCACGACATCCCGTTAACGAGACTGGGCCTCCTCCAAGAGCCTCCGCCAGTTGGCTCTGTCTTCTGCTGCAGCTCTCCAGTTCCGTACACCAAGCAGGGCTCTCGCATCATAGGCCACGTTGTCCAGCCATCTCGTCCTCGGCCTTCCTACCCGTCTTACGAGGTGCAGCTCCTCCATCATTATTTTCTTTGGTATTTCAACGGTGCTCATTCTGGCCACATGTCCTGCCCACCTTAGTCTGGCCAGTTTAATATACGTGACTACGTCGATGTCTGTATAAAGAGAACTGAGCTCCCTATTTTTCCTTTTCCTCCAGACATCACCCTCCTTTACTGGACCATAAATCCTTCTAAATCAAATGTAGTTTTTTAAATACAAAATCAGAAAGATATCCTCATTTTATCATTAAGTGACATTTTATAACCTTAAATCACTAAGAACTTTCATAAAATTTTGGGTTTGTAACTTTAGTTTTGAGTAATTTTAATGCATTAACTGTGCTTTTTTTAAAACGATAAATAAGGTCGAAATTCACTGAATCGTTCTCAAAAGTCCAGCTACATCAAAAATGTACTTATTGATTTTTTGAAATAAACCTATGATAATTTTATAATAAAATCACATTTTTTAATACAATAGCTAAGTGAATTAGAATAATATGAAATTCAACTGAATAACTAACTCCTCCTTAGGAAAAAGAAAGATTGCATCTGACATAATATTGACACTATACAATTGACAGGTGTGAGGTGGCCTTCAATATATTTTATTCAAGTAGATTGCTTCAATAATATTAATCGTGTAAGGGGTCCTTTAGACGTGCATTTTTCATTGGCAACAACGCCCCATAAAGTATCACGTTGCCAATGAAAAATGCACGTCTAAAGGACCCCTTACACGAATAATATTATTGAAGCGATCTACTTGAATAAAATATATTGAAGTTGATTGGAAGTTCCTCTCTTGTCTAACTAGAGCGGAACGATCCATGGTACTTCCTAATGAATGAGGCTGCCTATGGGTAGCCGGATCAGAGATAGGCGTTTGACGCACCTCCCTAATGGCCACCCATTCGGCTTGACTTTTGATTGCCTCCGCTCACCTTTTCTTTTTTCGGGAGAGCTTCTTTTCTAATTTGACCTATTTTATTTTCTCGGCCTCTTCCTTTGAAACACTTCCAGGGTAGGACTGGCTTTGCGTCCCTCCCTGATCTGCCTCGGTCGACGTAGTCTTTGCTTCAAGGACTAGATGGGAGCTGGTATGGCTGCACCACTCTGTCATGTCTGTGTTTAACTTCCTGCCAGCTCCCTCCTTCCGTTTCTAATGAATCTTGTGCAGCCTGGGGGGACTGCCTCTCCTCTAATTCCATTGCAGCTGGCACTTCAGGCTGCTCGTCTTCTATCGTTTCCATAGGTAGTTTTTAAGTAAAAAATTGTGTCTTATGTTAAATATATGGTGTAAGTGTATGTATGCTGCCTTCCCAGCCCCAATCCCCCTTATGGAAGAACGTGTCGCTCGAGAGTAGAGTCCAGTGGCCTCGGAGGAGCAGCTCCGGTCCGTGCATCAGGGTCCCATCCAGTCACTAACTGGCACTAATACCTCGTCCGAACACTGATGGAGCAGCCACTCCTTCCTGGTTAGAAGGTACGGGCTCTTATACTATCCCAGCGGCCGAGGTGTGCCATCCCTCGTTTCCATCTGTACCCTCTGAAACATCTCGCCCGGGCGGGCTCAACCATTCAGGCAGAGAAGGAGCATAGGGCAACATGAGTGGCTTCTGTGAGTTATGTTCTGTTATTAGGTGCGGTAGTGAGCAGTGCTCCTCCAATTGCTAACCTAGGCAGGCGCGTACCTCGCCTGACACTAGGTTCAGGTGAGGAGGAAATCCCCTATAGCAGCATGGTGTGTACTGTAAATGTCCTTTGTGTTTGTGTGCTGTGGTAGTGTACTGTGTAGGTGTTAGTGTAATTGTTTTCCCAACCTGGAGGGCCAGTGGCTAATTGCGGTGAAATGACCGGGTGATGTGGTCGCCAACTCCCTGCGTCTCATATACTGTAAAAAATCTCCAATTATAATATATAACCAGAAAAAACGAAGATCTATATTTATTTAGAGAAACAAAACAAGATTGTTGCACAATTTTTGTTTAATTTTGTTTATGGAAATCGCGATTATTTCTTTTAATGATATAACGATACTATAATAATATTACAAGGTTGAAAATAATTGTCAGAATTCGCAGTTAAAATTTCTTTAAATAAAAAAAATACAGGAATTTTTACTGCAAATCCTGATTTTTTTTTTCATTCCTATAATTTTATATTACATATTACAAATATTTTATATTACACCAATTAAGAAGACCTAAAAGGCCCATTACTCTGTCAATATTGAGTTTCATCAATATATTAACCGTTTAAGGGCTATATTGAGCAATTAAACAATATATACGGATTATGAAAATCACTGGGCGATACCAAATTTCTGGTGCCCCTCTTGTCAATATGTTTGAATTGGGAAATAGTACTTTGTTTTACTTTTATTTATTTTTTTTTTTTTGGGGGGGGGGGAGAATAACTCCCCTCCGTATATTTTTTTAAAGATAAAATGACAATATGTTTGGGTAGATGGGTGATTCTTTATTTAACTTTTACTTTAATTTTTTTGAGAGAGGGGTTAATATTAGGATTACTTATGACATAAAAATGTCAAATTTACAAACTTTCGTAGAAAGGAAACGCGTATATTTAATTTTGGATTGAATACTATTTTTAAAAAATAGTGATATTCTTTTATATTATTTGTTGTATTTATTTCAAATATTTAAAAAATTCTGATATTTTGCATTTCGGAAAAAAAAACACACATCAACTTCTCATTTTTTTAAAATTATTAATATTAGTAAATTACTAGTACATTATACTTTAAAGTATTGATTTCATGTAGAAAGGTAAATAATAATCTTAAAACGTCCAGAAACAAGGGCCGGAGGTCTAGTGGTTATTATCGGTCTAGTGGTTACGTCAGTGCTCGCCACCATTTCCTCGCCACCATTTCCCTTCTGAGTGAGCGAACCTGGTAATTTTATTGACATTGAGTACGGACCTACACTCAAAGTGAATCCCTCAATCAAATCATTTCAAAGGGCAGCTTCGATGGTTCGGTCATGTAATGAGGATGGATGACTGCCGTTCAGTGAAGAAAGCTATGGAAGCTATCGGACAACTCAAAGGAAGGCCGAGAATTACTTTGGAGGATATCCTCGAAAATATTCTTTTTTTGATTGGGATTGGATGTCCAGAAGCCGTCAACTCTCGACAGAGAGAGATAACACTCCTCGTGCAAATCTCTATACACTGTAAAGTAGAAGAGATCACTGAATAAGAAGATGAAGAAAGACCATGGCAGTGCCGTTTTATCCTTCCCCTATGAAAAAATCTGATTCAGACTATCATTCTCGTACACATGTTATATAATCTAAGATTGATAGGATTTTTGTCTGATTGAGGTAAATTTAAACATGAAATTAATTGATAATAAATATATCTAGTCAATTGAGTAGAAGATATAGGAATAACGTTGTTGCTTCCAGGAGGCTCTATTTGCTTCTGTAGAAAATCAGAATTATTCCAGATTTAACTTTGTTCTAGTTTTCATTCTAAAACACATTTATAGCTCTTCGAGTGTATATCGATTTATATATCGAAATCAAACGGTGCGTTTAAAAATCTGTCATTCGTCACTTGTATTGTTTCTTAATTTGTTGTGTAGGTATAATTTTCTGTGATGGTAAATTTTCTTTTTCACGGTAACAGCCTGAATCTAAAATACATAAATACTTATATGTTTAGTAGTTGCGGTAAATTTCGTGTACTTGTAATAATCAACAAATTATAATGGAAAATAGTGAATCAAGTGTCAAAATAAGTTGTCCAAGAGATATTGAAAAAATAAGTAATGGTGTGGTGGACGATGATTCTTTTGTAATTTTGAATGAAGATGAAAATATTATAGAACTCAACTTCAAGGAAGGTAAATATTTATTCCCTCTTTTCATCTCTTTTAAAAGAATGTTCTACTATTTGTTTGCATCATGTTTGTATGTTTAGCTTATTGTGTCATTTATAAAACTTCTTTTTTATTAAGAATAAGTCATTAGTTTGTTTATTTATAATTAATATAATGTTCCTCTACATGAGAAATTATTGAACATTTTTCTTAAGTTGCTGAAAATTGCAAAGTAAATGTCTCTAATTGGTTTTAAAGTCATATAATTTATTTCATAGTTTATTCAAGACTATTTTTAACCCTTGCACTGTATTATGTGTATGACATGGTGCAGTGTATTACACACTGAATTGTGTAATACATTGTTTTATAAATCTACCATTCATTAAAAAATATATATTTAAAATCAAACATACTTTTGATACACTTCCTTTTTTCTGTTTTTAATGACGTGTAGGTTAATTTATTTTTTAAATTATCTATGCTGTATTCAGTTTTCTGTATTTTTTAAATGAATATTACATGTCTATTTTTAAATTTTATGGAAATCTGTTTAGGATTATTTGAAAATTCCAAATTCTAAGTTATGTTTAAAATTTATGATTATTAATCAGAAGAAATGAAAGTAATTAGTGATAATTATGCCTCCTTTAATCACGGTATATTATTTGTCATGAGATTGATCATCTCCATTCTCTTTGTATAAACTCAGTCAATTTTCGACATTCCATATATACAGAGAATCATTTGTTTTTGGCCGATGTGTCATCCAGCTGTGACACTTGTGAACAGGTACTAAAATTATTTTTGACCAATTTTCAAAATCATACCCGTATATTAGGGCTTTATTTTCTTTCCAAAACATGGCTTTAAGTTTTATTGTTGCAGCTATCTTGATTAGTTACATTGTAGATGTTCCGTCTTATGAAATATGTTTATTATATATCCTGAAATTATTATATTTTCAGAAAAAAAAAATACCATATAATATATATGTTTTTCAAAATTCTAAGAGAATTACAACTAAAGAAAATAATAAAGTAATTGTTTGTTTATATTTATGTTTTCCTTCTGTAACATCTGGCTCATCTGCTGCATTGTTTCGTTTGAGACCATAAAATTACTTATCATCATTTTTGCATAGCGTATTTATATGCTATTCCATGATATTTTTCAGTTATTCGTGTACAAAACAAAGCTTCATACGCAACGAACTTCAAATTTCTGACAAAAATAAAAAGAATAATTTTTTCTTGCCACAAAATAGTACACATAAGTTAAAACTTTTCCATGATAAAGCTATCTCTTTTTTGCAGTAAACCTTAAATTATCTATTTAGTTGTCCATCAAATATAATTAACCAGCCTATAATTCACTAGTTTTCTTTCTCTCCAAAACATTTTCTAACTTACTCCGATTATCCTTCTTTCTGTTCTAGGTAGTGAGGAACATGTGCTAACTTCCGGTATCGAATAAGCATATATTGAATAAGAGCAAAACGAGAGCACTTCATAGTTTTATATCTTGGATTGGGTACAACCTTCTGACGTTATAAAAACTATCTTTGCCCGTTCAGTCTCAGTCAATTCTTTTACCTTTGTCATTTTGAATTTAAAAAATTAGAGTATATACATTTTTTATAATAAAAACTATTAAAATAAAACCAAAACATTCACTGTTATCATAAAGAAAGCTAACACTGTACTGAGAACTTTTTTTCTACACTCCATTATTTTTTTCTAAAGTATTAACTAGTAAATAGGGGTGAATATAATCCATATAAGAGATCTATTTTGTTCATCTGCAAGTTTTGAAAGTGTATATAGAATTTTTTATTAAAATGAAATAGACAATTTTGACTCGTGCAGATGAACTGAGAATGTCATTGCCTTGTGAGCGACAATAGTGAGAAACTCTGCCAAAGTGGTTGTTGAATTATTTACTATTTTACTAATCAACAAATTGTCCATCGAGACAGCAATGGAAATGAAGATACACTTCGATACACTTACACATCCACGTAGGATTGTGAAATTCTATGTGGAACAAGAAAGAATTATACTTTCAATATTCTTTTTTAAATAAATGGAGTGGGCCTACAAAAAAAAAAAGTGCCTTACAAATTAGAGGAATATATAGGATTATTTTTACATTTAATTATATATGTTACACATAAGGTATAAATTCATCTGTGTATATATTTTTAAATTATGTATATATTGCACCAAATTTCATCTTGATATAATTTAATTCAAAGATTTATTTTATTTCCTGATAATATTCCAATAATTCGAAAATTTAGTCGATCCAAGGGTGACTCGGTCCCATCCAACTCAGAATATCAAAACTCCATTATACTTAAAATAAATGTTAGATCACAGGATCTCGAGGATGTGTACTTATTAACAGGAAATGTTCGACCAACTTTTATCAGAGTTAGAAACCAACCAAAACAAATTCAACAGATTAGTTATCATTTCAATTCTATTTACAATTAAGCTTTTGATTTAAACTATTTGAAACATTATTTTAAAAATTATTGAAATACAAACCATCATTTCACAGAAACAGATAAATAAAATCATTAGTGTTTTTATTTCAATTAGAAATCTGTGTTCTAATTACAAAGTTTCATCATAATATTTGTGTATATTATGATGATGTTTATTTGTGAAGTATACAATTTAAGCAGTTTTGATACCAATATAGCAATTTGGATAATGATTTCTTATGGTTTAATTTTTCCTTTTTCATATTTTTCTCTGAAAATTATTTTGAAATTCTGAAAATGTGAGCTTGACCTGTATTTGAGAGAATATTTATGGTTAATTTCTTTATTTAAGCTGTTCTAAAAAAAAAAAAAAAAAAAAACGAGTTAGACCTCTCATATTCTGATCCTTTCATTTGTTCTGAAAATGGTTTTTGTGCATTGGTAAGATGTTACCCATTAATTAATTGGGTAAAATGTTAAGGTTAAGCTTTGTGACCTATTATCTTCTTATCTTTAAGGAGTGTGTTCTATTAGATATCAGAGGGAAATCACCTAAACAAAAAGGGGTGTATAATAGCTTATTAATATTTATATTTATTTTATGAATATAATATTTTAAAAATGATTCTTTTCATTCCAGGTCCTCTGACACCCTTTTTAAGAGACAAAGCTGATGAAATAGAAAAACACATGAAATTAGGAATTACTATTGACAAGTGGAAAGATTTTGCTTTGTCTCCTGGTGGATTGGTCAATGGTATGATTGGCCTTTTAGTATTTTCTTATCTTTACTTCCCTTTGATTCTTACTAGTTAGTTTTATTCTTTAGATCAAATTCGAAAGCTGGGATGGCCGATCCTTCTCGGATTGAACCCTGAGGCCTGTGAGGAAATGATTTCAGAGGAAAACCTTAAAGAACATCCTGAGTATTCGCAGGTAGTACTGGATGTGAACCGATCTTTGAAGAGATTTCCTCCCGGGATCCCGATCGAGCAGCGCCTAGCCCTCCAAGACCAGCTCACAAATCTCATCCTTAGGGTCATTACAAAGTATCCTCACCTTCGTTACTATCAGGTACTTTTATTGAAAAGCTTATTTACACTCATTATTTTTGTTAATATGTAATTTGGTTGGGTTTAACGACCTCTTACAGGGTTATTATTATTGAAGGCAATACATTGAAGGGGTACCTCACGGTTCAATTATATTGAGTCAATATTATGTCAGTTAAGATCTTGCTTTCATTAAAGGAGGTTTCCAAAGAGGTAATCTTTCTTTTATGTGGAAATGAATTCCACATTACTTTAATTGCTTAGGCTTTATCATTATAAAATATATATATATATTTGTTCTATGTAATGTTTATTTTGTTCCTAGATATTAAAACGTTTCTTGTTTCATATTAGTTCTGTTCTTGTGTTCTAATTATTTAATTTTTAAAACATATTGCCATAACATTATTTTAAAAAAATTCGGGGAGGAGGGAGATTCCTCCACCTACTCAAAAATATTGTCAATTTATCTATTAGAAAAAAAAATTCGGAGGGAGAAGGATTAATTCCTCCCCTCCCCTCCTCCCCCCCAAAAAATAATATAAGTAAAACAAAGTATCACCCACCTACCTAAACATATTGCCATTTTATCTTTTGGAATAAAAATTGGAGGGGAGGGAGAGGGAGTTTTAAACCTCCTCCACCCAAAAAAATAAAAATAATAATAAGAGTAAATAATAATAAAAGAATCACCCACCTAACCAAGCATATTGCCATTTTATGTTTTAGAAAAAAAAAATAGGAGGGGGAGTTAAACCACCCCTTTCCACCCTCCCAAAAAATTTAGTAAAATGTAACCTCCCTACTCAAACATATTGCCAAGAGAGGTATCAGAAATTTGATATCACCCCCAGAGCTTTTTAAAATCCGTGTATATGGCTTAATATTGCTCAATATAGCCCTTACGCGTGCACTTCTATCGACGCTGTTTCAAAGGAGCTTCAATAAAAAACAAAAAAAAATTATATCAACCAGTTTGATTGACGTCAATATAATTGATGCCAATGTAGCCCTTACACAGTCAATATATTGACAAAACTCGATATTGAAGGGCCCTTTAGACTCAAATAGTATAAATAAAAGATACAATTTTTTTTTTTCATCGTCTTCCATAATTTTTATTAACTATATTTAAAACACTTACTGTGGAGCAATCTCTGAAAAAATATAGACATTTATTGGCTTGCATCACCTTTACATTGTACCCTCAATAAGTCTCGCAGTATTTATCCTATTCAAATACTTGCTTATTTATTTTCACTTTCACTTGCCTATATTATTTATTTTATTTATTATTTCACCTACCTATGTATGAAATTTTAATTAGGGTCGTTTTTATATTATTTGACTATTTAGCATTTCTGGATCTAGCAATTTAGATTTTTAAAAATATCAGCTTTTTTCAGTTGATCTTAAATATTAGTATGGATGTCCTAGATAATAAACTTGAGTATCGATTGTCAGTTTTCTTAATAGTAGTTTTCTTTTTTTTAATTTTGAAAATGGCATTTTGCTCAGAGTGTTACTCTATAATGAAAAGGCTTTATGGAGTAAAATGGTTCTTAGAGATCTTCAAAGATAAAAAAATCACTCTGAAAGTTATAAATTTCTAAATTAGATAAATATAATCTAAAATAATTCAACTTACAGCTTAATACCTAAGTTGATTTTAATCTTTTTATCCTTTACATTCTTTTAGGAACTTTTCTTGGGAACATTCATAACATATACAATAGATTTATAGAAAACGAGCTTTGATTATGCAAGTTTTATATTAGTTAAAAATCTGGTGCGCACAACACACAAATTTCACTTACCACTCAACTTTGAATAAAAATTATTTTCTGGCCATGTTGGGCTATTATAAAATTTTTTAATTGCATTTTTAACTGAGCTAATATAAATATATAATATAACCTATTATAATATATTCATAATATAAATATAAATCATATACATAAATTATACGAAAATATAATTTTTTGTGTTTTCTGAAAAATTGTCATAGATGTTAAGGGTTCACTTTGGAAATAAACATATCAATTAAAATGTTTCTCCATTCAACTATATTTTTTTTTTTATTATGCAGTTTAAATAATTAATATTAGTTTTATATTCTATATTACAAATCTTTTCAATCATAAAAAGAATTGTGATTATAAATGTGGATTAAAATTATAGAATAAATAAGTAAATAATTAAGATAATTACTGTTCATTTTATATTTATATATTATAATATATTTTAAAGGTGATTCAAGCTAATGAGATGTAAATATTTTGAAATAAAATTATTAAAAATTTTAAGACAAGTTAAAAAAAAAATTGTCTTTTATTTATATTTTTGTCTGTTATTCTATTTTTATTGTTCACAATAAAAAAACGTTAACAATTATTCAATCATGTTTATTTATTTTACATAATGCATCCAAGTAATCTTTGTTAAGTTAAAGGGGTTCGTTTTACTGTTATATAATTTTGTTAATTAGTTTAATGTAATATTATTTTAATAAACTTCTCTTTGTTAGGGCTATCATGATGTGGCTATTACATTTCTGCTGGTCGTCGGGGAAGAATTAGCTTTGCGGATAATGGAGAAATTGTCCACCAATCACCTTCGGGAATGCATGGAACCAACAATGGAGAAGACTTCTCTTTTACTGAATTATATATTTCCTCTCATAAAAAGACTCAATCCTGATCTTTATTCTCATTTAGAAAGGTGAATTTTCAAAGCTATCAAGAAATTAAGGCAGACTGCATTGCTATATAGTATTGAACTAATAGGCAGTATAAAATTTAAAAAAAAAACTGTTGTTACCTTACCCATGGCGTGTAGATGGTGATATAAAGTGTCTTTTAACACTCTATTCTCCTTGGCAAGATCACGAGTACTTGTAGATGGATTTGATCCTACACATTGAATAATTTACCAATAGTGTCTTAAAATAACTAGAATTTCATAAAACACTGTCGTGTTGCCATCTTCAATACAAATTTTTGAACTAACACTTTATCGAACCAATCTGTTGTTAATAAATAATGTTATATTAGTGTTCTAAAGAGATAATACATTGTTGGTATACAATAAATTCATAAAGGGATTCATGCATTTGACAAAATTATAAATTTTCTTTATACCGTCTATTATTAAGGCTAATTAGAAGTTATTAATTATAACTAAGACCTGGATCTATATGCAACAAAAACCATTGGAATATGCCATAAAATATGTTTTAAAGAGATACGATATAATATGCCATCAGAAGTATGATCATATGCCATGAAACAGTGAATGAAGGTATATATAAAGATGAAGTATTGAGCCATAAATACATTTTTAAAAAAATGCATTTCACAATAAATTATTTTTTCATTACTTACATTTTTCATATTTACAATTTTTATATTATTTTAACTTTTTTTTTTTATGTTCTCTTTTACCTCGCCTTTTTACGCGATTAAATTTACTGTCTCCAATTTTGGTTATCAGGTTGCCAGGCAACGCATGGTGCTGTGCACACATGTTAGCCTATTCAGTCACCCCGTCCCCTATATTATTTTAACTGCTATTAGTTGTTTCTAGAAACATTTTTATTCAAAATATTTATTCTCATTTTCCTCCAAAATGTCAACTTTTCAATCCTTGAACCGAAAAATTCAGGTTTTGTGAAGAAATTAAGTCAGAAAACTCGTTTTTGACCTGAGAATCGTTTCTGGACAAATGGAAATCTGTTGGAGATACGTCTGGTGATTAAGGTGGGTGTGAAAGGACTTACCTAACATAGCTTGTTTAGTTTTTTCACTGTCTGTCGTGAAACTTGACGTTTGGTGTTGTCATATAAGAGTATAGATCCCTTCTGATTAACCAATGCAGGTTGTTTTTTTGATGTTATTGATGCATTATGTCAATATCACTGCATTTAGATGTGTATGTGATGGTTTCACCTCTGGGTTAAAGGGAGAAATGAATTATTTTTGGCATTGACCACCTCATAGAAACCAATAATTTTTTTCAATTCACCCACCGGTGAATGATCCGTTTGTTATACTTTTCCTCAAACACCTTGGTAATGTTTCTTTCAGCTTAGGGCATTGTGTGTCCAAGTTTAAACTCATAAATAAAAATTACTCAAAAATCACGTGTTTCTATGATCATATTTGACGTCATACTAAACAATTTACAATCAATGGAAAAAAAAAAGAGGGTTAATAACAGTTTATAACCTGTAAAGATAAACATAGTAAACAACAAAAATCCACTAATTCCACTTTGAATTTCTGAAATACCCTAAAAACGGACAGTATATATGAAATATCCCAATAATAGTGACTGATAATACCCCACAAGAGAGGTAAAAATTAACATCTTATTTTATTAATTAAACAATTTTCTAGGCCTAAAATGATTTCAATTTAAGTGGTATAAGAAATGCCTTCCAAGCCTAAATATGCAACATAAAAATTTACAATGATTTGTTTCATATTAAAATTGACTCATGTTTTTGAAAGAATCGTACAAAAAAAAGTGCATTTGCATAAAAAAATCTGGATCTTAATTGCAACAAATGTATTTAAGACCTTTCAGAACTTGATGATGTTTGTGTTACAGGTCAGGAGCTGGGACTATGTTCTGCCTCCCCTGGTTCTTAACGTGGTTCGGACACAGCCTCAACCACTACAAGGACGTGGTGAGGCTGTACGACGCCTTCCTGGCCACTGCTCCGCTAGTGCCTCTCTACCTCACTGCAGTCATTGTCAACTACAGAGCCTCAGAACTTCTGCAGTTGGAGCCTGACATGGCCACGGTCCATTGTTTCCTTTCTCAGGTATGTTGTACATTAAACATTTTTTTTTTTTACCATAAAACTTTATTAGCAGCTTAAACTGTTCAGTCTTACTTTTATTTGATAATAATAATAGGTATGTCATTCGGACTTGATAAATGTACAGTGCTTCATGTAAAAAAAGGAAGAAAAGTTAATACCCAGAATATTCTGATAAACAAAGATCACATTAGAGAGCTAGAAGCACATCAATTATATAAATATTTAGGCATGCAACAAAGCCTTAAAATTGCCCGAAGGGACGTGCAATAACAGCTTCTGACTGTTCAGAAAGAGATTGCGACAAGTACTCAGGACTCAGTTATCTGGGAAGCACAAAATTAAGCCCATTAGCACCTGGGTCATACCAGCTCTGAGCTGTAGCTTTGGTATAGTACAGTGGTCCAATACCGGTCTACAGGAGATTGATCGTCTAGTAAGAAGACACTCATACAAGAACAGTCTGACCATCCAAAATCCTCCAAAGCCCGCCTGTATTTATCTAGAAAGGAAGGAGGTCGCGGACTTCTAAATATAGAGGAAGCATGTCAAAAGCAAGAGCTGGCACTATGACGAGATTTTCTTTCTAAAACAACAGGGATTTACCTTGCTATAATCAATATGGATTCAGGTCTAACGGCACTCAATGTGAACAAAGTCGAAGATTTCACAATTGTGTCCGAAAATGAAAGGCTGTCAGAATAGAAAAGCAAGGCGCTACATGGCAGATAATAAAGCCAATTGAATGCAGCCTCCATAGACAAAGAAAGATCTGTGGAATGGTTAGCGGCAGGAAGGCTATTCTCTAAAACAGAAGGCTTTGTAGTCGCCATTCAAGATCAGGTCATTGCCACCAGTATTGTATCCTTTAATAATACCCCACTTATACCTGTAGAACAAATCAGATACCTTGGTATTATTAAAGGATACCGTAGGATAGCAAATCATCTTAGTGAGTTCACTAAGCCTTTTTGTTATTTATAATATTATTATATTATCTTTCACTATTGGTAATATTTGCTTCATTTTCATTACAGTTGCCTGATGACCTACCTTTTGACCGGCTTGTTACAGAATCAGTTGAATTATATGCCAAGTTTCCTCCTGAGAGTATCGAAGCTGAAGTAAAAGAAAGGACAAGATTAGAGTCAGTATTTATATTATATCATGATTATTACATCAGATAATTTAATTTTATGGTTTATAATTATCTTACTTTCAATATTGAATCTCATTGGTAGATATATCATTAATACCCTGTTCAACATTTTCTGTGCTTTAAGTTTTAATGATTTATTTTATTTTTGCTTACTTTATTTTTGAAACAAAGTATCTAAATATTCAAAGTAAATTCAAAAATGTTTATAAACATTTTAAAATCTTAATTTTTCAATTTGTACCTTCTTCTTTTTTCAGATCTTTTTTAATTTTAAAATATTTACTTTTCTACTACTACTCGGAAAAGAAAGTATTAAAATCGGGTAAAAATCTTATCACCTTCTAACGGATTTAAGTTTCCGAATCCTCTCGAGTCTGTGCGTGCGTGTGTGTATCATGCTCTCCGTTTTGAATGAGTGGATCAATTTTGTTGAATTTTTTGTTGCCTATGCACTAAATCATGTACACTCTCTATATAGTTAAACATGTTTATCTATTGACTGAATGTAATGCCAATACAGTTCAAAAAATTTTGATGAAACTTTCCTGAAGTCTAATCCTCAAAGCTTTTTAAATTTTTGATATAATACTTCCCTGAGAAAAATACAGAGAAAGGTTATATAAAAAAAGAGCCTTTTCTCCACCTATCGTTTTACCAATATTTTAGAGACATATTTGAATTATTTCAAATATAACATATTGTACAAAAATCATGCATTGACACCTTAGTAAAGACTGAATTATTTCTAAGCAGCAAAAAATGCTATAGATTAATAAGTGTTGACATTCATACAAATGAATAATCCAGTAAACGTAAACAGTTTGTTATACATAAAGGAATTTAAAAAAACCCTCAAAATCCTACATTATTTTCCGGACAAGCCAATATTTACATGACTGATAAAAACTTTTGATTTCTCAACCACAGATTGGAAATATTGTAGTGCTAGGAAAACGGTATGAATTGGATAAGTGAATATTAATTCTGTTAACAGAGATTAATTTATTTTATGTTAATATAATTATCTAAATATTTTGGATGGACATAAACACTAATTATGAACTAATTAATTTAATAAAAATCCCAAAAGTTAATATAATAAAAAATTATGAAAGCTATTATTAAATATGTCGACAAAAAATACATTGCGCCATAAAACCATAGTTAAACATGCAATAATATACTGTAAAAATATTTTATTATATTTTAAGTATTTTCAATTTCCTGTATATTTCTCGGACATCTGTATTTTCAAAGGTGAATTCTACTAACTTCTAACATTATATTGATATAACATCCTTTGCACCATTAATAAACAATATTTAATTTGAATCCTGAAAAAAAAATATCATTGGTTTAAATTGAAGTTGTATAACAAAAATTGTTTTTTTTCTCAAATTTTGGAAAATGACAGATGTCCACCTTTGATATGAGGCCACTCGATTGATGTATTTTTTAAATGGTTGAATTTTTTAATCATACGACAATCTATTCTTTTAAATTATTTAATTTAATTACATCTATAAATTTCAAGAACAATATTAAATTATTACATTAACAATTTATTTCTATTACATAGTTCTGCAATTGCCATGCAAATTAATATCATTGCTTACCTTTAATCTTAACTGTTTCTGTTTAAAAAATAAATAATTTGAACAATATTCTTTGTTTAGTTTCATCATATCTAAAATTATTTGTAGATTGTAATTATTAAGGTTATAAAATACTATTGTTGATAGTTTGAAATGGTTGCAACTTAAATTACCCAAGAACAACTTATTTCATTTTTTATTGGATTGAATACTGTGATAGACACCGACAGCTCAAATTTTAAGATGTAAATTAAATTAATTTAAAAAAGAAACTCATTTGGTATTTAAAGAAACAACCTGAGTATTTAATAAATATAAAACATCTAATGTTACTTAATATTTTTATTTGAATCTTTGATTTATTTTGTAGGAAGGAAGCACAGAAGAAAGAAGAAGAAAATGCACGGAAGAGGCGTCGTGGGGCCGTAAAGCGAGGCGGAAACAGCATAAAGACCCAGCTGGAGCGAATAATACCCAGTTCGAGGGCACAGTTGCTACTTCTTGCATTCAGTATAGCGATCGGGTTTTACGCTTACCTGCGGGGTAACGGTGGACCTCCTGCGATCAGATAGCACCAGCTAGCTGGCGTACCGCCACGTCTCGCTCTCACATTCGCTAGGTACAACATTGTACCCGTTGTTACTTCACTACGCTGAAGAGCTTATTAAGAAAAATGCAGTCAAATACATCTACTTCATTAATTATTTTTTATTACAACCTGAGGTTTATTTGTTATCTTAAGAGGTGTGTCAACTCTAAATAAATTTAGTTCAGTATATTATAAATATTTCTTGGGTAACAATGTCGGTTTTTTTTAATTTCATTTCCATTGTGTTTGCTATGGAAATCTTATTTACGTAATCGGTTTGAAGGGAAGGTTTAGTTATATGTTACTGAGATATTTAGTTTGATGACCCTCAATGAATTTTAATTATTGTCTAAATCCCTTGGGTCAATTTATGACAATGTGCTTAATTTTCTTTCTTTTTTCCAATTTATGGGAGTAAATTGGTTGTTTGTTTCTACCCTATAAATTATTTTTTTTTTTTTGTGATTATCTTTTGAAGCCATTTGGCTGAACGATTGAATATTTATTTATTGAATGTTATTGGCAGTGAGTCTTAGTAAAAAAATATTGTTAATGTTTTCCAGCACTATTGCAGCATTAGTACAGTTTCAATGACTTTCTGGTCGATAGTTTGAACTGAACTAATTATATAAGGAGGGGAGGGAAAAATCTGATCTCAAATGTATTACGATTTTAGTGAATAAAGTTTTGGTTGTATTATCCTTAAGTAAACAAATTCAAATGCATCGGATGAAAAACACTCCTAAAATAAAAATAAAAAAAGCTTTTGATAAATTATTGTAAAATAGACAAAATTTGAACAAACTCACTGAGGTGAATATTTTTACTTTTATTAAATATTATAACTTATTTTTTTATTTTATCCCCCTTCACTGCACAATATGGTTCCCTTCATATCTAATGACCGATACCCTTAAAGTTGAAGCGTCAATTGATTTTGACTGTCGTCAGTTACCATTTCTTCTAGGATGATATTTCATCAAATATGTCATGATCAAATCATATGTAAAATTTAATTGGAAGGATGAAAACTAATCAGAATGCCCAGTTAATAATCATGTTTATTAAATTTTCTGACGTTTCTAATTTTTTGCTTTTATGATTTTTGGAATAAATGTTAAATCGGCCTTCAAGATTTCTTTCGAGAATATTGTTAAGGTAATATGTTTTGGTCTATTTCATCAGTATCCCCCATGGACTCGTTATATTTAATCTTATTACTTTTGGATTATTCAATTTTTCTGGTAAATAGGACAATATCTGTCAACATTGTTTCCTCCATTCCTACATTTCTGTTAAGAGTGGTAATTACTACATTGTCCTTTCGCAGACCATGAAACATGGCAATAACGTCCTCGTTTAGATATTAGGACCAGGTAGCCGACAGATATTATTAAGCAGGAAAACTAAAAATGGGATGCAAAAAAATGTGAGATGCTTTTAGACTTGAGAGAGCCTACCCATTATATTTTATAAAAGTATATAAGATAACAGCTTTTAGTTATATAAAAGTAATATATTAGATGTTTTACCTTATTTAATATAGTTTCATAGTTACAGATTTTTCGTTAATGTAGTTTGATTCTTCGAATCGGTTTAGAATAAGGTGAAAAAGAATGGTTATGTTAGGAATGCTGTTAGACTTTTTTTTTTTTTTTTAATTTCATTTGTAATATTATATAAACTTATTAAAAGTAGAAGTAACATTTTCACTCATTAATATTATAATATATCAATCATATTATATTAAATTATTCAACTTAATCCTTAACCGAGTAAAGCACTGCAGGATGCGCGACTCAATTTTTTCAAAAAGATTCAAGGAATCTCTTCTCTTTCAATGTTATTCTTTGAAGAAGTGTGGCAAATTTTAAATCGTTATGTTGGTTTGCATGTTAAGAATCCTGGAACTCCATTACGTTAGTCAAAATGGAAGAATAGATAGTTGGTATGTGTTAAAATATTTTGTTATTCCTATTAATTATATAGTTTAATATTATTATAAAAAATATTTGTTGATTTCTTCATTTAATATTTTTTTATTAATAATTTCAATTTTCATCAATTTTAAACAAAGGCTTAAAAAACATCTTGTATCTTATTTTTATTTCTTTTAAATCTGTTATTCTGAATCGTTTTTTGAAACAGATTGCTGCCAAATTTCGATGGGCTGTCTGCAAGAGATTGAATATTTGGAAAAAAATCTTTTTTTCTGTTATGGCGTTTTGTCATTTGAGCTGTTCAAAAGAGATGGTGCAAAAAAATCTCAAAGATTTTATGATGAGCATAAATAATGCTAAATGATAAATATGATCCCAAAATCTTGTCAACACAGACTATTTGGCTGTTTTCTATAAAAAGGAGTGATGTTAAGTTATTTGATTGGGATATTATCTGAGCCCATAGTCTGAGGTTAGATTATAGCAAATCTCTTTGTCTCTTTAAGTATTAAAGGCCACATTTCCAGATCAAACGTATACAACAAAAATTGGAGATTTTATTTTAATTCCTGAAAATGTTATAACTTTTATATGCTATATATCATTTAAGCAAAGTCTGAGTTTTTTATGAAAATTAAACAGAGGATAGAAAATACTTTATGGTTATGACACAGAATTATATTTAATATTCATAACTTGTATTTTGTTTAGCCTATTCATTCAATTTGTTAAGTAGTTTGCTGTTGATACTATAAGAATTTTTTTTTGTGATTAAAAACAGTCTTGCAACAAACCTTGGAGTCCTTACAAGGGGAGGTTTAGGGATGGATGTGGGTTCACCGATTTCAGTGAAACTTTATTTGGCGATGCTAGATCGAAAAGAAAGCCCAAAGGTTGCTTGCCAATGTGCCCTAGGAGCCTGAAAAAAAAATATATATATTTTATGTAATTTCAAACAAAAGTAATGTAATTCATTTTTTCCCTTTGCTTTGATCAGATTTTTATTTTAAACCAATTGATTTCTTTTTTTGTGCAGAATAAGAAAAAAATATTGGTTCTGGTATTAATCGAGTTATTAAGTATCTTACAAAACAAAACCAAAAAGTGCTTCCAGTAAAGTAAGTTGTGCAAAGTTTTGTTATCAAAAAGAGAGTAACATTTGTTTTTAGTGTTCTTTAAAACTCATAAATATGAATTTTTATATATTCAAAAATTTTAAATTTTAGTACATGACTTTCATGAGGCTTGTTTTTCTGGCCATCAACTAAAGCATAAATTTTCAAGATTTTCTCCAAATTCAATGTTTGTACAACCGTTGGAAAGCTGAATTACTGCTCATCCGACCCACATCAGTAGAAGTTGGAATTAATTCCTTTTTAAGCTATGAATTTAGAAAAACTTATCAAGCATTTTTATTTTATATCTTTGGTTCTAAGTTGTTTACCGAGGTCAAGTTTAAATCATTTTGTGTAGCATACAGATCCCTGAGTTTCTAATAATTCGGTAGAGATTTTCTGAAGTTATCCCAATTTTTGCGGTTGGTAATAAAATTTTGAAGGGTTCAGCCTAAGCAGAAATTTCATGCAAAAAAATTAAATAACTTAAATAAAGGAATAAAATAACTTTCTAATTAAATAACCTCCTCTTGTCAGCTAGAGGTACTTAATTTGTGACCTTATGATTGTTATGGTTCTCAAAATGATCAGCACTCAACTATGATAAATTACTTATCTAGTCTGGTACTGATTTTTGAATTGAGCAGAAAAGATAAAAGATTTTTTAAACCACAGTTTCACTTTGAAGCACAGCACTGGCGGATCCAGGATTTAATTTTGGGGGGGGGGCTTCAGCCCGAAAGATTTTTTTTCATATACATATAACAATAATTAATTAGAAAAAAAATAAAAGAAATTAACTACCTATATGAAATGATGTTTAAGTGGTTCTTGAAGTCCTCTTAAATGTAATTACACGAACAAGAATACTTTAAGAGATAGTTTTTAATATTTTTTTCTGTAAAACATAGTTATATTTTACCATTTTGGGGGTGGGCTTCATCCCGAAAGCCCTACCCGTAGATCCGCCTGTGAAGCACAGTAATCATCTTTCTGAAGAATATGTTTTATCTAGCTAGGATTTGAATTGAGTCCTTTTATGCAAAGAAAGTTTCAGCACTATAGGTAACTTATTTTTTAAATTTAGATTTCCATTAAATTAATTAATTTATATTTGATCTTAGCGAATGTTTGATACCTATTACATTATCATGACAGACAACAAAAATATGTATAAGTATGTTTACTCCATTTGAAAATAGATTATGCTATCAAATAATTGACAAATGCTTCTGTTATGTTTTATTTAATGTTATCAATTATGTTAAATTTGCTTAACCATTATTATGCAGTTACTTAGTTGTAGTCATTACCACTGTGCCTTATCTAAACTAGTTACAAAAATGATTTTATTCATTAATATCAAAGATTAACTCAACCATTTTTTTTAATATTAATATATTTCAGATATTATGATTATGAGTTGGAAGTCGTGAGTTTAGGCACCATTCTTTTTTTTTTTTTTTTTTTTTTTTTTTTTTTAATTTTATAAAATATTTCTTAGTTGTATCATCCTTATGTTGTATTTTAAAAACATTTATACTTATTTTAGATGATACCAGTGGTATAATATTGCCAATGCAAAAAACCAATAGATATTCTATATTTACATCAGTGAAATTTATTTGTATTTATATAACTATAGACTGGAAGTGACAAGCAAGAAATCTTTTCAAAAATTTTATAAAAAAAAATATGAATTTTTTTTCACCTTAATTTTTAAAACATAAGATACATTACCAAAATGTTTTCAATTTTTTTATATTTGTCATTTCTAGTCTTCTATTATATTATGTCATTAAATGAAAATTAATTTAATTTTAAATTATATTATGGTATGAAGTAATTAAAACTAAATTGTATTAAATAATCTATTCAAGAAAATATTAATTATAACAGCTCATTGTGTTTATTTATAATAAGTGAATTTTTTATCACTGAAGTTCAATCATGTATTGTGGTTGGAAAATCATTCCATTTAAAAATGTATTTGTAATTATGAGTGAGGGTGATTGGAGGAACATTGTGAAATGTTATATATGCGTATAAACTATAAAAAGTATAAGGTGTAGAATTAATTGAAAGGTTTTAATGTGAACATTTTCTAATATATTCACTTGGTAAAGTGATTGTTGCCCTAATGATATAAATATTTTTTAAAAATACCAATATTATTAATCTATAGCCTTATTACATCTCTAGTAATATTTTGTAAATGATAACCGCTTAAAGCATTAAAACTAAATTGTATGTTCTTTGTTTAAACTTACATACTATTTATCCAGTGTAAAATTAATTAATTTCCTAATTGTGTTTGTTCACTTCATTGAACTTTATATTCACTTCATTAAAAAAAAATAATGATCTGTTTGCACTAATATACTTATGTTCTCAAGTTTCTGATCCGTTTATTTTTTTATGTTCAATATGCTTTTGCGGTGATGTATGCAATAACATGTAATTGTAAACTTTTATAGTTACCATTAGGTTTGTAAGATTGTACAAATATAGAATAAAATAGCTTGTTTGAACTTCTGACAGTTTAATTTTATTTTTTATTGTTTGTTAATCTCTTCTGTTTGTTAAAGCATAAATAAATTAATTATCTTACTATGTATATAGTTGTATTGAAAAAAAAAAAAAATAACCTTTTATCGCTTTTCATCATACAGCTGGTAGTAGCATCGGTATGTAACTCTGGGTATATTAGCTTATAAAATTATTCAGGATTTTTTTCTTAAGGAGCGAGGTAGTTTGTATAGCTTATTACGTATTCCATTTGGCTACCTCATCATGTATTTACATCGTTATATTTTAGTTATTTTTTTATTATAATTAATCAAACATTATTATTTATTATTATTAACTATTATCTGTTAGATAATATTATATCTATGATGTGATACATTTTTCAGCCCTGATGATGAAATTAATCAAAAAATAATTTTATTCTGGGCCTAAAGACCCCAAGAATAATCACATAGTACAGAACATTGGTAAAGTACAAACAGTTCAATGTTATTTGAATGTTTATTTCAATTGCTATTGGAATCATATTTGAACACTACAGTAAACAAAGTAATACTAGTACATTTAAGATGGTTTACATTTATACAAAGAAAAAAAATAAATGAAATAAAATCAAATGGTTTTATTTACTGTTTGGCACTGACTTCTTTAGCTCAAGGTTCTGGGTTTTAATCTGACCGAAGAAAACGGACTATATGACATATAGATATGTTATATATTTTAAGATAGACAAAGAGATAGAACGCACTTCATATCAACTTGAATACAATGGTTAGGAATGCTCGTAAGTGAAGTTTCTTGTTTATTTTTTAGGTTCTCGCCTTTTAGGCTATATGGGGTTTTCCAGGACCAGGTGATGAGGTAGATTAATTCCTGAGTTAAAAGCCCTCCTGGGCACTGGGACCTGAACCGATAGTTATTTTATCTAATTGTCTTGGATGCGGGTTGTCAGGCAACGCACAGCGCTGTGCACACGCATTAGTCCGCTCCCCACCCCATCCCATGTAAGTGAAGTTGACTTCATTAATTATTACAAGAGTGTAGTAGTTGGATGCCTTCTATGTCCATTCAATCTCAACAAGTCAACGTGCAGAAAGTACGTTAATGTATTTTCAAAAGTCCTAAGTTTTGTTCGAGGGTAGAAGGCAACCGACTATTACCCCAAGTTTTGATATTCAAAAATGTCAATTTCACTCATAACCTACCGATGTGTTTAAGTAGATATGCAAGAACATTCCATCCATTAGGGTATGGTATATATCTTATATGCTTATAAACTAGGGTTGTTTTCTTAGTAATTTTTTTTTTTAATTATACCATATTTGATGAATACATTTAGAGCCGAAGGATGGTAACAGAATATTAAGAAAACTGAAACTTGATAACAATAACTATATTTTATAAATAAAATGATACAGTTAAGGAATGGTGCATTATATAAATGTATAGTTCAGTAATGAACTTAAACATAAATTACAAGTGCTTTCATTTTTAAAGCTGATATGAATTTGATTTATAGGTTCCATTTAAAATTACAAGAGAGCAATTTCACCTTATATCAAATAGCTATATTTTATGAAGAAAATGGTACAGTTTGGGAATGGTGTGAATATATAAATCTAAATTTCGACAACTAAATCTAAAAATAAATTACATAGGTTTTCATTTTTAAAACTGATAAGAATTTAATACATCATTTGCTTTTTAGGCTCAATTTAAAATTACTAGAGAGCGATTTTAAGCCTCTAAGGGCATCTAACACCTATACCAACACAATGGAAGACTAAAAAGAGTATATAATAAATACATCCACACATGTATACATGATATGTACATATTCAGAAAAATTAAAATCAAAATATTTTTTAAAGTGTTATTTTAAATTAAATGGGTGTCTCAAGGTTAGATCTTTTAGCCATAAAATGTATAACATAGATTTCGAATTGTATTCAAGACAAATCCCTGTATCACAATAACTTAAATTATAAATCTATACATTAAATATTTCATCTCCAATATTTAATTATTAAAAAATAATTTATATATCTATACATTGAATATTATATTTCTACTATTTAATAATAATAAAATAATTTATATGTCTATACATTAAATGTTTCAGCTCCACTAGCTAATCGTAAAAAAAATTGTTTATAAGTTAAGATTAGACCAAATCGAAATTCTGTCTTTTATATAGTTCATGACCCTCGAATCTTTAAGAATAGCCATGTGGTCTGACCCTACAAATCCCTGTGTATGTACTTCCTGCTTCTGTTTAGTAATCCATTTCTTGCAAAACTCGAGGCTACGTATATTGACAGTCCCATCTCCATCTTCGTAGGTGAACAACGGCTGATCAGGGAACTTGTTAGTTTTATAAACAAGTCTAGAAAATAAAATAACGATATCAAGAATGAGGCAGTTGCAATGTAACATGGCTTCAATATTAGAAAAAGCATAGAAGGAAATTATGTTTAATGTACTTATACTATTAGAGATGCTCAACGAAACATTAAGTACTTATATTATTTAAATGCATAATTTTATTTTGTATAGTATGAGCTTAATTAGCTAATTTTTGTGTACTTACTGCTGGATTGTACTAACGCCTAAACCATAAAGGCAATGGACCTCTACTCCTGGAGGTGTCAGTTTCTCAGTGAATTTTTTCTCGTTTAAATACATTTTCCAACCAGTTGGGTTATTTATATCACTGAAAAATAAAAAAAATCAGAATTTGTATGAAATAGTTAAAATATTCTCTAATGTATTTCTAAATGACATGTTCAAAACAGAAAGCAGTTGATTCAGGAAGAATAATGAAAATTTACTTGAAAATAAACTAACAAAGAAAATGAAAATAAGGAAAGCTGTTTTTACTGGAATACATAAAAAGCAAAATAAATGTAATAAATAGCACCATAACTAGTACTAGCAAGGAATAATATACTATATATTGGGTTGTCCAGAAAATAATGCAGAACTTTATGCCCTCTTGATATTAACCTACTATACCTACACCTTCTATTGCCACTAGCTTTATCTGAGCAAATGGCCAAGATCAAAAGTGCTTTTTTCTCAGTAATTAAAGTAAATAAAGCTAATAAGTCGGTTGTGGGAATGACACAATTTTACAATTTGGTAATGACATTTTCATTTATTTTATTCAGCCAAAACCGCTGTGTGAATAGTATTCTAACTGACTTGCTACAAACCATAGTCAAATGTCAATTATAATAAAGAGATGAATAGTTGGGGTGATCAGTCAAATAAGAAGGCAAAAATAAATGATAATATTTATTTTGACATTTGCCGACGCTTCGACCTGAAGTTCAGGCCATCATCAGGGCTAAGAAAAGAACCAGATAACAAGGTATGAGAAACATAAGTAGTTTAGGTAAAAAAAAAAATTAAATTAAAATGCAATTGTTAGAATAATGACAATAGTAAGAACTAAGAGATAAATGATAATAACCGGTACAAAGTGTGGAATGATGAAGTAAACATAATCAAAAAAGGTGACATAAGTATTAAAATAGGAATCTTAGAATAAAATATAAAACAGAAAAATATGAAGTTATATAAGAAATGGAAATAAATAGTAAAATTAAGATATAGTGAATAGAATAGTTAGATAGAAAATTGAGATGTTGTAAAGTCTATCAAGATGTACAGACAACGCATAATATAATAAAGAGTCAAAACAGAGAAAAGGAATGAAAGGAAGGAGGAAAGAAACTGAGAAGGCTGAAATAAGAAAGAAAAAGAAAACCAACCTGACTGATTGATTTTGTTTTAAAACCATAAACCTACATTAATTTCTGTACAACCTAATAATTATTTTTAAAGATGTTTTTGCATTAACATTAATTTCCGTACAACCTAATAATTATTTTTAAAGATGTTTTTGCATGATCGTTGATTTTTATTTTAAATTCTTTGATGATGGTAAAAACATCTTTCTAAAAAGATTTTTTTATTGTTGAAATAAAATTATGGGAGCAATTTGGTATTTGTAAAACCCTAATCAATCATTGATTAAATATATTAATTAAAACAAAATCTCACTAATAAAACTGAATAATCAAAATAAGATTAATTTAACTTCCTTATCTTAACCATAACCATACATACTTGAAGAAACTTTCCAGGTCTTTAATGGTGTAGTTTTTATCAGGAGTAGACACAAGAACTTCATCATCCCAAAGAAGATAGTTCGGCATGAGGAAGGCACTGCTAGGCAGCGTAGTTTGTACCTGCTTAAGAACAGACTCATTCAATAAGTAGACACCAAGGTCATCTCCTAAAAACAGGGTCCGAAATCATTATTAACTTTTTCAAAAATAATCACAATAACTGTTACTGCATACTTAATACTTTTATCAAGTTAAAGGATAACAGTTATGAAAGAGTTTTTATAAAATTATACTTTATTTAGAAAATTGATCTTTTAAAATATTCTAGTTTAATTTTAAATTTTAAAAAATAGATAAAAAAGTTTTTAGATTAATCAAAATATATCAATAAATCTGTAAGTGCGATTAGTGTTTTACTTGACAAACATTATGATTTAATACTTTATTAATAAATGTTCCTGAATGCAAATATCTCTTAAGTGCTAACAGTTGAGCTTCTGAATTGATTTTTTTTTTATAGCCACTTCTAAGAAAATTTCTTGTATGAATACAATAATATTTTTATTACTTTCAAAAATCATTTTGATAATAATAATTGAATTTTAATTCACATAAATAAATACTTTCTTTAAAATTTCATCTTTATTTGAATTAGTTTATTTAAAAAATAATCTCGTCTGTCTAAATTTTGTTAAACTTTGAAAAATCTTAAAGACAATTTACAATCGGTATTCTTTAAACAAGTATAACATAAGAAATATTTAATAAGAAAATATAGTTAATTAAATTAAATTGATCTGACCGAGACACATATATCTATAGTTAGTTCTCTTATTTGTCCTTTATAATAACAACTTTTAATCTAAGTGTTGACTTTTGTTTTTAAATCTTATAACAAATGAAGTCTACTTTACTTAAAATAAACATTATTAATTTGTTATTTATTTAAATTTATATAAAATATTCAGAAAACAGTCGCTGTGAAACTTTGTATAATGTTTGACATAAAAATTGAAAGAAAACAGGAGAAAATATAACTACTTTAATGTCAATTAAATTAAATTGATTCGACTGATTTTATTACATTAATATAATGCAGATCATAAATTAAAGGCCAGAGAACAACAGAATTAGCTTTAATACAAATTCATGGACGTCTACATCACCCAGAATGTATAAATATAGGATTACATGAAGGAATACAGCAGCCTTGTTTCTGATTTTCAGCTTGCCATTTCATCAACCTATTCCGTTTTTTGTTGTTGTTTTTTTTTACCAGTTTGATCCAGTTTTTACTAGTTTAATCCACTGATGCGTAACTTATATTAATACATTATTAAAATGTGATTATTTTTATTTATTTATTAAATAAGTACTCACTCTATAAAATAAATATATATACAAAAAAACAGAAAAATTTGTATTTAACGTTTGATAGATAAAAATTAAAATATAACTATTTGGAATTAAAAAAAAAAAGTTTCTTGAAATAAAAAATAATTTCTAGTGAAACTTAAAATATTAATATAATAACTACGATATAAATAAAATTCAATAAACAAACATGTTAGCTAATTAAGGTTAGATGAAGTTTATCTTCAGGATTAATACTCCATTTGACATACCCTTAGGTAATAAAGTGGTCATTTATCTAAAACTAATCCCTTTCTATGAAAGGAATTAGTTTAAGATGGATGATCTGTGATTAAGGTTATGAAATTTATTTAAGGTTATATTCACAGAAAAAATAAAGAAAGAAAATAAATAAAGACTATTAACAGAATGTGGTAATTACACTATCCCTTATAGTTTATTATTTTCCAATATGTCATTCTTGATACGGTAGATAATATATCTTGATATATGTGTTTGATATATATCTTAGAATTTTCCAATTGAAACATAACTTCCTTCTGATTCACTGGAGTCTTTCTTAAAATATGAAGCTTATTTAAAAGGCCACAGGCCATACAAGGAATTGTGAAATACAGTAGTCAGGGAGGACTTTGATTTCAAACCCGTCTAGACTAAAAATAATTTTCTCAAGTCATGTATTTTGGTTATAATCCACCACTGGTTTTACTTTTCGGTAAAATTCATCTGGAAAATTTTTTTTTCTGTTTTATCATATCACAACTTACTGCTGTCACTATATTTCTGATAATCTTTTTTGATTTTGTAACAAAAAGTAACAACTCATTTTGGTTTATTATTTTCAATAATGAACCATTGTGATCGAACAAAAAATTCAAAAACTTAACCCCCCTCAAAATTTGAGGTTTTACATTCCAGGATACGTAGAATTTGAAAAAATTTATTTGTCCGTCCACCGTCCGTGTATTTCCTCCCAAACTACTGGACCGATTTTTTTCAAATTTGGATTAAAAATCAGAGGTCACCCAAGGATGATCTTCCTTCTACTACTAAGACTATAGCTCCTAAACGAATGCACCGATTTTAATGAAACTTGGCTAAAGTCTTCTTCTTGACGCCTTTTAAATTTATCTATATAACATACTTCAACGAAAAGAAACTGGAAAAAAAGTTATGAGGGATGGTAAAATTAGATTCCGAATAACTCAAAAAGCAAAAACTTTTTTTTATGATATTGTATGGTTTTTTAAAAGTTTACAGAATTTCCTAAAAAAAAAATCGTTAAAATCAGACAATCAGGAGCAAAGATATGTCTCTAGATTTTTTTATGTTCTACTTCAAATCCTATGTTTTGAATTTTGATTTTTGAATATGTTACTGAAGTAATGCAATTTTTTTTTTTTTTTTTAGCAAATTACTAATGAAAAAAAAATATTTAGGCAAATAATTGGAATTAACTTTTTATTCCTTTTAATTTGTCACTAGAAAGGTAATGTTACTTTAGATGTACAATTGTTCTTGGTATTTATTTTGAAATTTTTGATGTTTTTTTGTCCCAAAAGTTTTAGGTAAGTTGCAGTATAGAATAAGCCTTTTAAAGAGCTTCTGTTATATATTCTTCATCCATTGACAACTACCCTTGCAAACAAAATTTCTCATGATTTTGATTTGATAATATTAAAGTTTTAAATAAATTAGTTGTAAAACTAAATTGGGTTAGGTAGATAATCAATTAACAAATCTTAGGGAATACTTGACCTGTTTGATTGTGAACAAACCAACCAAACATTTGTTGATCCAGGTCAGTTTTAACAGAGATTAAAAATCCAGTTAAGAAATGTGTTAAGAAATAATACAGTTCAAATAATCTTATCTAAAATGAAGAAGTTTTGGTTAGAATTAAAATTTAATGAATAATATAATATTTTTATGACAAATAAAGGAATAACATAATTAAATTGAAAAATAATATTGAAAATGTCAACATTATATATTTGAAAACATTTATACATGGAATGGGAGTGGGGTAACTCGGTGAGTAAGGTATCTTACTGGTCTGGGTTTCATTCCAGCTGTGGTAAATAATTATTTATTCGGTTATACCAGGAAGGAGCAATCCTGAAATCGGAAGACCTTCCTGGGGCATATTCAGTCTCTATTAAGTATTCTTAATTGAGGGAAAACTGGTAGTTAAGAGTGATCCTAGATAAATAACTTCCTTACACTGCCATTGGACAAAAAACAGTACTTTCTTAAAAGTACAGAAGACAAGACAAGAGCCTCCATGGGTTGCAGTATTTTTTCATTAGTATTTATTTCATTAAAATATTTTTTTACAATGTCTGATGAATTTCAATGTTGTCAACAGAGCCCTCAAGGCTGATGGTTCTTATGAGTTTAAGTTAAATAGACAAAACTAATAAAAGGTATGGCATGATCTGATAATAATTGCATGATATTGCAAATAATTATGTAATACGTATATTGTTAATGTTATTAATTAACTGTTAATTTATACTAATTGGATATTATAATTATAGAGATGAATATGGTGCATGGACACCGAGAGCTTCTCTTTAAATAAAAAAAAAGGCTGTCAATGGTAAAAATATCCTGAACTCATAAGAACATAAAAATAGTCTAAAATTACCTAATGCTAATGTTTCTTAAAGTGGGTGTCACAAAATTTTTAAATAATAAGTAAAATAAGTAATTAAAACAATAATAAAAATTAATAATGTTTGCTGATGAACAAGTAATGATAACAAGTAATTATATGTAAAGAAAGGTTTTCGAGAGTTACAAAAAGTGGGATTTGACTATCAACTTCATGAAAACAGAGCACCTTGGCACTTCATCCTAAGAAACGCCAATTGAAAGAGATATAAAAACTGTAGAGAAATTTAAATACCTAGGATCAATATTTAATAGAGAAGGCACATCCTCCAATTATATCGACAGAAGAATTGGTGAAGGAAGAATGGTCACAGCAATACTCAACAGTATCCTTTGGAGCTCGAAGACATAGCCCAGTACAAAGAGGCTAATATATATGGCTATATTCCAGCCAATTACGAAATATGCCTCTGAGACTTGGGTCATCAATGCAAGACACAGAAACAAACTGATAGCAGTTGAGATGGACTTTTGGAGAAGAGCAGCAAAAAAAATCCAGAATGGAAAGAATCAAAAATTAAAGAATTTTGGAAATGACGGAGGTGAAAAAAACATTATAGCAAATATTGAAAAGAAAAGGTTATGCTGGTTTTGACATGTGAAAAGAATGCCTGAAAGATTGCCAAAGATATGTATGGAGTTGGAAGTAGAAGGGAGAAGGAAAAAGGGAAGACCAAGGGTAAATTGGAAAGATGTGGTGGAAGAAAACCTGGCAGGTCGTGACATCAGTGAAGAAGAAGCCTTGGATAGAGAAGAATGGAAAAATATTTTAAGGGATATTTAGGTCAAGAACAACTACAGTAGTGGGAATGTCCTTTAAAAAAAAAAAATAATAATTATTGGTTTTATTACTATTCTATGTTGTAAAAATCTTACCATTTTATGATCATATTTTATTTTATAAACCATATAAAGGGCTGCAAATCCTAATTATTTGTCATACTCAGTACCCTCATTAGACATTTGGCGGTCCCCGGGCAAAATGATTTCATCCTAATTTAATTTATTTTACATTAAGTAATATTTGAATTTTAAATTTGAAAATGAGTTGGTCGGGGGTGTGGTCAAAATATAATAATATAATATAACTATATATTATAATAGTATTTAATTGGATATGCCAATGTTTCGACCTACATTGCAGATCTTAATCAGAGATACATTAATTATAAATGTTAATTGGTACAAGATAAACTAATAAATGAATTATCACATAATATCAAAAGCATCAGCAAATCCAATTAAACACTGTTACAATATATAGTAATATATACCTCTGACAAACTCTTTTTTAAATTGTAATCACGGTCAACCATCTCTAGACCATATTTGAATTTTATTTCATTCAATTTATCTCTAATTCAGTTTCTTTATTAATAGGTTAAAATTAATCATTCTCATAAACTTTATAATTTTTATTTTATTCCTAAAAAGGGCCCTTCTCCAGGTCAGCGCTCCGGCGCAATTGCCCAGCATAAGGCCAGCAATGGTCATAATCATTCATCATAAATTATAACAGGGGTGTTATCAATTTTATTTCATAATATTAATATGCTGTCGCACAAAAAATTTGAGAATCAATGCTCTTGATCACCATTAATCAATCAAAAAGGAAAAATAAAATATTACTGTATCTGAAAATTGATAAGGTATCTAACAATACAAACCATAAAAGTATTACTTTACCTGTAGCAAAAACTTTCAATGCTTTAACACTTCCACCATAAGCACCTGATAAAGTTAGAAGAGCTCTAATGTACTTATCTTTCCATGATTGAGGTTTATTATTCAACAATATCAAAGACAATGGTCCTCCCATACTGTGCGCTATTAGTACAACTGGCGAGTTCCCATTTTTGACATAAGTAGATTCGATTAAATTAGTAAGATTTTGAAAAAATATATCAAGTTCACCTAAAAGTGAATGAATTTATGTATTGTATAAATCTTAGTTTTTATAAAAAATAAAACTAATAACTATAAATAAAACTTACTAATAATTAATGAAGAACCATTTTGATTTATAGTCTTTATTAATAATAACTTTGAAAGCCTAGCATCCATGAAATAATGGGAATATTTTAAAAAACAAATATTTATTTGTTTTTATAGACTGCTGTCATAGATGAAACTATTTGATTATTTTGAACGTAGATTTTGTTTTCTTTAAAATATTTATGTTTGAGATTACATAATAGGTAATCTATTATATAAAATAATAACATATATTGAATTACATTCATTGCTCATGAGGTAATTGACTAATAAATACATAAAATTCTTAAAGAATAAAAAAAATGATTCTCTAATCACAAGCAAACCTTTATTAAGATTTATAAATTCATTTAAAATAATATAATAAACAATTTTTTTTTAACAGAAATAAAAACATTTTATAAAAATATAGTTATCAATACATTGATTGATAATTGATATTGATAATTAATATAATAATAAAATACTTCGGGCTTATTATTATAATAATAACTTTGGGCCGAAACGCCGAATGTAAAAATAAATAAAATTATTTATTTTTACCATTTAAATTTGACTGATCACCCCAACCATCCTTCTTTTTAATTATTCACTACAGTCAACCATAAACCCACAATTAATAATAAAATATAATTTATTAATTAATTTAAAGTAATATAATATACGATTTTTTTTAAACAGAAATAAAAATATTTTATAAACATATAGTTATCAATACAGTATTGATAATTACTATAATAATAAAATAATATTATATATTTTTCTTACTTGGGCCTTTCCTAAAATCAAAAGGTGCACCATGGAGATTCTCCCCCCTTATGTATCCCAGAGAAACAAGAGTATCACTGATATGACTGAAGTAATCTCCTGCTATAGCAAGCCTACTTGGATCTAAGTATTCAACTCTCGAGGGGTCACCGAAATCAGGAATCCTCGTCTCAACACCAGGTTGGTTAAAAGTTTTTTTAGTTGCTTCATCAAAATTCAACTTAATATTATCGACCTGAAAATTCATTATGTATTAAAAATGGATCATTGTAATGTTGAACATTATTTTTTTTATTCATGAAATGATTCTCATAAAATAATAAACTCATTTTATAAATCCATTGACAAAGATAAGGCCTACCCAGCAGTCAATAGCAATAGGAATTAAATGATTAACATCCAACCACAGTGTAAAAAAGTCTTTTGTAGTTTTATCACAAACATAGTGAACAGTTGTAGTTTTGTTCAATTTGGCCTCAAGCTGACTTCCTCCATCACCTGGCACTGTGCAGCTTACAATTAAAAACCATCATTAAATAATTTTAAAATAATAATTATAATATATAAACATTATCATACCAAAAATAACAGGTGGTAGTTTTTTGACATCTTTGGATTCTTGAGAGAAAACAATAAATGATCCAATAAAAATTATTATTAATTGTAATGAGGTTTTCATATTATTTCGAAAATATTGCAGATATTAATTGAAATAACTAACTCAGTTTTATTATCAGTAGTACTTCAAAATCAAAATACATGGAAAAGAACTCTGATTCCTTTTATTAGGTGCTGTTATCATTTGATATCTTATCAAGTAGTAGTAAATAAAAATATTTATCACGATAAATCAATATCCGGTTTATTTGATGTTTAATATTTGAAGTAGTAATCCTTAATGAAGGATATCGTTTTCTTTAACTTCGTAGTCGGCTAAAATACTAAAGAGATTGTCAAATAACAATTATATGATTAAACAAACACAAATTTAAAAATTGATTCAAAATTAGCTCAAGTTCTTATCAATAGTTCCTGAGCCACTACCAGGCAGTGTTAACCACAGCCTGGCACCACCAGAGCTTTTTATTGACTTTTGAACTCATTCCTTAAGTCTTCTTTTAAGATTTAATTTATTCTTATTTTCTTAGTGTAAATAAGGACTGCGTTACTTTTCATTCCTCAACTCATTTACAGGTCATCTGTTACTTCAGTAATCATAGAAGCACAGAATAACTGACTCAGTTATTATGGCGGACGTTAAACCTGATATTAAAAATGATGAACAACAAAATTTTTCAGTAGGTAACAATAGTGATCCTAAAAATTTACAGGAATTAACTCAGTATGTAAGTATCGATATTAATTATTTTGAATATCCCTTATATTTATGGTGGTTTGAACTCTGTGACAATCATCTGTCATTTCCATAACAATCAGTATTTAATTAATTGAAGTATTCTTGGTAATGCTGCTATGATTATATGTATGATCTTATGATATTTATATTTCATGAGATCTTTCATTGGTTTGTTTATCAATTTAGTTGTTATCTATTTATCGGCCATGTTTTACTTGTTTTTTATCAATCATTCTTTATTTTATGACAGTTAATATTAATTTTGATACTAGTTCACAAATGTCACATCTAGTTGACAGGTGGTTCAATATCAAATGATCATACAGTTCATGTAATTCTTAAAGTTGCTGTGTTGACAACTACGTTATGGGATGGGCTTGATCAAGGGATAATATAATCCCCAGTGAGTTCTTTTCAGATTAGGTCTGTGACTTGTCTAGCAGAGGTCCTTTTAAGTGTAAACAAACCTACTATGGTCCATTAACAAAAGAGGTGTGGAAATCACTCACTCTGTATACTGCAAGACACACCCGACTACTTTTGGGATTTCATGTATAGTGACATTGATATTATGTGGATCCACCTGTCAACTAGATGTGACACTTGTTGACTAGTACACTAATTTTTATTTTTACAATTTATTTTGAGTAAAATTTTTGGTACTCATTTATAAATGTCACATCTAGTTTGTTACGATAACATCATACTATAGATGTAATTCCAGATGTAGCTGAGTGTTCACAATGTGCATGAACTAGTAACAGATTTTCTTTATTATAATTTCTGAAATATTATTTAATAAGATGTTTTTCATCCATGTTAATTTTATTATTTCTTATATTTATCTCAAAAAAATGAAATTAAATTGAGCTCATGAACAACAACAACTATTAAGAGGACCGGAAAGTATTTTCGTTTCTGTGCATATCACTACTTGATTGTCATTTTTCAGCTTATTTTTATGTCTAAGTCATGGCATAGACATTCAAAGGTTGTAGTGACTTGTTCAGTTGTAAATAATTAGATTTACAATTGTTATGCTAGTTTTGGTGAAATGGCCAGCATAATACCAGAAGAGGCACATATCTGACATTCCATGCTTTTTGAGTTCTGCAAGGGCAGTATCGCAATAGTTTCTACTAAAAACATTTGCGATGTTTATCCATATTCATTAGCCATTCATAAATGTGAAGGTGGCTTTCGAAGTTCAAATGCGAAGACTAACAATGACGTGTTATAGGGCAGAAGTCTAAGCAAATCCGTGTCAAACAATCAAGGAATTGTCAAACAGTCTTACAATCTAAGTTCATTTACAGCATATTGAGAAACCACTACATACAACTTCTTGCTTCAACAGCAGAACACAGAAGCGTTTTATGATTGCTTAACCACCAGAGATAGTAGAAAATCCAAAAGGCAGTGGCTGTATCCAAATGAATTACCACTAAATTCTGCTATGCCAGGTTTACACCTCAAAGGTCCTTTTGTGGGTTTGGTGGGGCATTCACAGCATTGTTCATGTTGAAGTGCTGAAACTTGGACGAACTGTGAATGCAGACCTTCACTGTGAACATTTGGATCGTGTAAATCAATCTTTAATTGTAAAGAGGCCAGCAATTGTCAACAGAAAAGGCATTACTCTATAATGCAAGACTGCACCGCACAAAATTAACACTGAAAAAAGTAATGAATTGGGGTGGGATGTGCTGCCTCGCCCACTTTACAAACCCGATGTTGCACGATCGAATTTCAATTGCTGTGACACTTTCTACGTGGCAAAATATTTGCCAATTTGAATGATATCCAAAATGCCGTCTTTTTACTTTGTTCCGAAAAACAATTGAATTTTATCGATCCGGTGTTGAAAATTTGCACACCGTATGGCAAAATGTTGTTGACAATAACAGTGATTTTATCATGGATTAAAAATAACTTTTTAAGTATCTATATGTTTAAATTTGTTTAAGAAAATGACATTACATTTCGATCCCCCTGGTATTTTAATTATAAATTCATTATTCAGTTGGCTATAAATTATTAATGACTACAACTATACTATATTAGATAATAATTCAGAACATCTGATCACGCCCTGAATTACTCCACCTTTATAATTGTCAGACTGTATTTATTCACAAAATGGAAGCACTAACTTTGTTTTAGTAAAGTAGCTTTGGTGAAGTGTATAGATCTTATATTTTTGACATTGCCCATGAAAATAAATAAAACCCATTTAAAATTAAAAATTTTTGATAAGAGAATAATTTGATTCTGAAAACAAATCATACAACTGAATATAATATAAATATTGAAGTTGGTACGTAATTAATTAAGCATGAATTATGGTGTATTGTGGGTTAGGAGCTGTTAATCTAAAGTATTACTGTTTTTTGTTAATTAAGATTTTTCATTTTTTTTTTTTTTTTGTCTAGATTCAAACCTTGCTTCAACAGACTCAGGAGAAGTTTCAAACGATGTCTGATCAAATCATCACAAGGAATATCCTTTTATACTATCTTTATGCTACTTTCAAAATGATTATATTTTTAGTTTCTACTTCCTCGATGGATAAATAATAGTATTATTCATTGTTTATCAATGTAATTATTAAGCACAGCGCCTACTTGGTTGCTTCTGGTAGCGCTTTGTATAATTGAGTTGAAGTAAGTGCTGACCCTACAGGAAATCTTATTAAATGGTATTTGTTGTATGGTTATATTTTTTTATACTTTAATTATTGCTGGTTGGATGGTCGCAGATTTTTTCCCCCTTTAGGTTAATTCAGTGCTGCTAATAATGCTTAATTGGAAGTTTTTTATTTATTTATTTTTTATTGTATTCTGGAATATTCATGTGTTCACTAACATGACATTCCGTACTGTCAACGGCCCCTTCCACGGTCAATTATATCGAGTCACTATTATATCAGTTAAGATCTTGTTGCTTCCACTAAAGAAGGAGGTTTCCAAAGAGGTAATCTTTCTTTTTTGTGGAAATGAATAATAATGAATTTCCTATTACTTTAATTCCCTTGGCTTTATCATTAAAAAAGAACAACAAATAAAAAGTAACTTCCACAAACAGTTAAATGGCATAAAATACTGCCATTTTGAATTTAAAAAAAATTATGGGGGGTGCTTCCTTTCCTTTCTCAAAAAAGTATCCTCCACTTACCCAAATATATTGCCTTTTTATCTCTTAAAAAAAATTCGGTAGAGGGGGTTTAAAACTCCTTCCTCCCTAAAAAAGTAAAACAAAGTATCAATCCATCTACCCAAACATATTACCATTTTGTCTTTTTAAAAAAAATAGTTGACATGATTAGAGGGGTTAACACTCACTTCAAAAAAAAAAAAATTATTTACCCTGACATGGGTAGTACCCCTGTTTTGTTCAAAAGCAGCGCTGGAAATTTGGTATCGCCCATAGCTTCTCAAGATATATATAGTATAATATTGATCAACATTGCAATTATATTGACACTCACTAATATTGAAGGAGCTTGAATAAAAAAATAAAAAAAATTGATATCAACTAGTTTGAATGCCAAGTGTAGTCCTTACATGGTCATTATATTGACAAAATTCGATATTGACTCAATAATATTGACCATTTAACAGAGCCTTTAAGGTGTCCATTACATAATTGTTTGCTGTATTTTCAAGATTTTTTTTTTATAAATTGTTCAGGAAGTTGAGTTTAATAATTTAGTTTAGCTTTTTAGACATTTCAAGTGAGCATCTGGAATGTTCTGGTAGATGCAAAGATTTTGAGATTGAAAAATTAAAAAACAGTGGCATATTTCCTGTTAGACAACTCTGATTCGTTGTATTGTTGGTTTGATCTTTCATTATCTTGTCATAGATAAAGTCTTTCGTTTATTCCACAATTTTGGTATTAATTCATTTGGAAACTATTTTTTAAGTTTTTGAAATGTGTTGAATTTCCTTCATGTACACAGTATCACCTGTTATTTGTATTGCTATATTTTCATAACCTCAAATAATTAAGAACTTTGCTGAATTTTCCCGTTGTGTAATTATATGTGATAAATAATTTTTTTTTTTTTGTGATTTACATGCACTTACTGAGTTTTTGCATCAATAAATGAAGTTGAAATTAACAAAAACGTAATTGAAACCTAACGATCAAAAATGCACTTAATGACTTCTTGCAATAAATGACCGATATTTTGTTTGGACAATAAACTTCAAGAGGTGAGGTGAAAGTAGATTTTTTACCTATTACAGGATTAGAATTAAGTTTAATGGAAAATTGGTTCATGTGGAAGAGGAATGTACAATGTCCTGAATTTCCATTCCTTTATTTTTTTCATTTTGAAATTTCTTTTTATGTCTTGAAAGCAATTGTACTTGAATACTGTGAACATCCTTAATGGTTCATTTTACTAGATGACATGGGAAACAGAATCGATGACCTTGAGAAGAACATCTCTGACCTGATGACTCAAGCTGGTGTAGAGGGTACAGAGAAGTAAGAAAGGCCTATAGACTTAATCAGGTTACATATATTTACCTCGGACAACTGTTAAATTTCAACAGCTTTCATAGCTACCGCTGTCTAATCTAAGTCACTTTTGTATTTATTCATGTATTTACTCTAAATGTATTTATATGTTTTTGCTTATTATGTTTATTGATAATCAAATAATATTGGAACAGTAGTGTTATAAATATGCTGAATTGTGATTACATTTCTGTGTTGTGCTTTTTTTAATTATAATTTCTTTTTCATAAAACACATTTTCGTTTTTATATTCCTCATAATTTTTATTATACCTTTCCCTAATATAAATAACCTAATGTAAATCGAAATCTTATTGGAGTTGAAGACCAAATCAGTGATGGATAGATAGTGTAGCCAATTATGTAAGAGAGTTCTTGAACATACAAAACTGGATGGAAATTGTACAGAATGAAGGAATCATTCACTGATAATGTTTTGAGCATATACTAAATCAAATTGTGAAAGATGGTCTTAGTGTCAATGAAATTATTTACACCAATTTAGTCATTGTTAGTCACTTTATAGCCAGTTCAACCAGCTGCGAATTTCTCAGTTGAATGGATGAATTCCGGGGTTGATAAGACAAAAATTCTTTTTCATTCAGGTAAAACAAAGTGGTATTGGATTTTTTTCAAACTTCCATCATAATGGCTGGCTCTTCCTCTTCTGCATAACAAGCTAATGGGAACTCATAACTAAATAGCCCTGGAGCCAGAAAATCTTAAAATAATACTTAAATCAGGAGAAGCTTTTGAATATAAATTGTGGAAGCATATTTTATTCTAAATAAAATGAACCTTGTCTGTCATTCTAGAGCTGCTGCTTTCAAAATTGGCAGCTATTTAATAGAATATTAGGCCAGTAAATTGAGAATCAAAACAGAAAATATATTGCAAAAAATGTGGGACAAGTTTTTGCTTTATTAACTTGTGCATATGGGTTCAAATAAAGTATTAATATGCACTAGTGGATCCAGGGTTTAATTTTGAGATTGCTTCAGTCCGAAAGCTCCTCTTTATAGACCTGCCTATACTAAGGGAAATGAGTTTTCAGTTTTTTGTATTTTTTCACTTGGATGCACCTTTAAGGGGTATTCTTCCCCACCCCAAGGAGTGATGGTACTTAACCTCTCCTTCCAAGAAAATTAATTGGTGTTCTTGGTTCTTCTAAAAAATTCTTGGGCTTGAATAAAAGTTTTCATTCATTCAGTTCCCTTCATTTTACTTATTTTTGGTGTCATAAAGTACCCTTGTAATAAAGTTAAGGCCATTATTTTCCACCAATGTTGTTGCGTCTTATAATATACCATGTGATGGCGTTTCAGCCAGTACTTGGGTCATTTTCAAGACTAATCAGTTTTTTCTTCTCTAATACATAGTCACTATTACTATTTTTTCTTTTCTTTAGCTGAGGAAGTGCAATTGCCTTTATTCCTTTCGAATGTAATTCCCTGACTAAAGAAAATAGTAAATTGTGACTATGTTTTTAACGAGAGAAAACTGATTAAGACTTCAAAATTCCCCAAGATAAAAATGGTCGACACAGGATATTGTAAAAAGCTATACAATATTGGTGGAAAATAATAGTCTAAACTTTATGAAAAAATTAAAAATATTATTCCCTCCAAAAGTTCATCAACCCCTTAAAACGTGCCCCCTCAAAAATTTGGATGGCGCAATTTTCCCCTTTTTGTCACGCTGTTCCCAATCTTTAGTCCACATATAGGTCACATATAAGCTGCTCTCTAACATTCTTTTTGACAGGATTCTCCCGTATTCTGAAAAGGAACTGGGACGCTCAACCACTGATCAACTGTTCTCTCTGAGGATGATCCTAGAAAAGACTATGGAGCGTAAGGTAGTCACCCACCATTTATTCCTAGACTTTAAAGCAGCATACGACAGCGTTGATAGAACGCAACTATACTGTGCCTTGGAGGAGCTAAGCATCCCTCAGAAGCTCGTACGCCTAATGAAGATGACCATGGTCAGCTCGATATGTAGAATACGCGTCGGTTCTGACGACTCCGAAGAGTTTAAAGTGAGCAGTGGGGTTAGGCAAGGGGATGCCCTCGCCTGTCTATTGTTCAACTTGGCAGAGGAGAAAGCTGTAAGAGACTCCGGTATTCAGACCAACGATATAATCTTCAATCGCCTGACACAGCTTCTTGGTTTTGCTGATGATATTGACATAATAGGTAGGTCTGAACAGGCTCTCAGAGAAGCGTTTATAGGCCTTGAAGCAGCTGCAAGACCACTTGGTCTAGAAGTCAACGAGAGGAAAACTAAGTATATGAGAGTTGGTGGTGAGGTGGATCTGAACTCTTCATTTGAGGTAGGTTCTTTTAAGTTTGAGAGAGTGAAAAGTTGTATATACCTTGGGTCTGAAATTAATAGCAAAAATGACATGGCTCAAGAAATACAAAGAAGGATCACGGCTGCCAATAGATGTGTCTTTGGACTTGGCCGACACTTAAGAAGTAGATACCTCTCAAAGAAGACCAAGCTGATCATATACAAGACCCTTGTTCGGCCTGTTTTGACATATGGCTCAGACAGGCTTGGACAATGACTAAAAACGATGAGATGAAGCTGAGTGTGTTTGAGCGAGGAGTCCTCAGAAGGATTTATGGTCCAGTAAAGGAGGGTGATGTCTGGAGGAAAAGAAAAAATAGGGAGCTCAGTTCTCTCTATACAGACATCGACGTAGTCACGTATATTAAACTGGCCAGACTAAGGTGGGCAGGGCATGTGGCCAGAATGAGCACCGTTGAAATACCAAAGAAAATAATGATGGAGGAGCTGCATCTCGTAAGACGGGTAGGAAGGCCGAGGACGAGATTTTTGGACAACGTGGCCTATGATGCGAGAACCCTGCTTGGTGTACGGAACTGGAGAGCTGCAGCAGAAGACAGAGCCAACTGGAGGAGACCCAGTCTCGGTAACGGGATGTCGTGCCACATATGATGATGATTATGATAGGTCACATTTCAAATCACTACAAGGAAAGGTGGGATTTTGCTATCTAGTTTCCTGTTTATTGTACTTTCTTTTTACAAAAACATCAAATTCCAGCAGATCGTTTCTAAATTTAGCTTAAATATCTGTTCATCCCTGCTGAATTCATTCGATTAATAAAATCCATCTATAGAATTGTGCTTGGTTTAGGATCTTGCCCATTATTTTAATATAAAATTATTTCCGACGCATAAAAAGAAGCGAAGAAAAACATCTGGATAATCTGACGTCTTACCAGCCTCAGCCGTCAAACATGACGCTTTTATCGGTAGGTCTGATATCGCGAATTTAAAAATTAATATATTTTGAACCTATTATCATAGAAATCTCTTGTATTCGCATAAATATTTTGTAATGCATGCCTAGTGATAGAAATAGGAACATAAAAACATTCATTTGCCACTTTGGTCAGAAAGGACTTAATTAATATACCTGAACAATATCAATTAGTTATTTTAGTCAAATATTTGGAACAGTTCTTATACAAACTGCAATCGCAGATGGTTTTCGCAGTGATACTTAAAGAACTATATTTTCTGAAATACTACAAAAGATTGAAAAAAAAAAAAAAAAAATAGATCTCATCAACAGCACACTGTGTAAGTAGACAAGAGGACTATGTCATGCAACTACTTTTATACTTTGAATTTTTTTTTGCTTACTTCGCCAGGGAGTTTTTTTTCCGCTTTCCCACAAACTTTCCATTTCTAACAAACAGAGGAGAGAGAGGGGAGATTGTACTATAGATATAACGAAACCAGTTTTAGCTAGAGTGAGAAGGTCGAAATTCATTCGTTGGAATTATAGACCATGTAGATCTTTTGCCGCGTTAGCAAGCCACTCTGTTGCATCTTTGTTGGTTCTACCTATCTATTTGCTTTTTGGCTTTCCACGTGGTCTTTTTCCTTCTATTGAGACACTTATTGTTACATAGAGGCTTTCAGATGGATTGCTACGTGCTATATGTCCCGCCCATCTTAATCTCCGTGCCTTCATATCATGAGATATTTATTGACCAGTTTCTGTAAACAGCTCTTTATCGGCTTTAATTCTCCATGTGTTAGTAATAAAATCCCAGAGCGCTCCGGTTATCGTACAGAGGATTTTTCTCTGAAATCTTTTAATACTTTTTTCTAGGATGCTGGTTAGTGTCCAGGTCACACAGTCGTATATTATAACTGGTTTTATCATAGCATTGTACACCCTTGATTTCAGATTTTTCGGGATTTAAATAGCTTTGAAAGGAAGAAGAAAACTCTGCACTAGATATACGCATTTTTTTGAGTATTTAAAATACAGCTATCAACAATATTAAATATATATATTTATACACTTCTTTTAATGTTCAAGCAGATCTGGGGAAAATATATTTTATATTCAAAATACTTCTATTATTATATTATATAATGTTGAATGAAACTTAAACAATAATAAACCAAAAAAAAAATATGTGTTTGGTAAATTTATTTTTACTATTTAAAATACAAAATAAAACACAGTTATTGACAATTTACCTTCTAAATAAAATATAAATTACAAAAAATGTGAAATACTTGATTTGAAATACTGCAAAAAACTATTGTGCGGTCCTACCCTGATAGGTAGGGATAGGCTGATAATAAAGGAATTTGATTTCATATTTCTTCTTATGATTCACACCTCCTTGACTTTTCAAAAAGACATTTCATTCATGAACGCACTATCTTCCTCTGTGTTTATGTGTGTTAAAAAATTGGTTTATTGGCTTAATTAAAAGATTAAGACTTGGTATAATGGTCAGAAGAAGAAATTATCGTGTTTTTTCTGACGCTGTCTTTGTTTAAAAATATTTTTTACATTAAAATTTGATTTACTAGTCATTTCAACACATATATTATTATTATTCAAGATGTCTCTAAAAAGGGATTTGAAGCTGCTCTTAAAACCTTATTATATCATAAACTTACTTATGTCCTTAGGTTACCTTATGGCAAAAAAAATGCCAGGGGTTTGCAATATTCTATTTCCTTCCTCCAAACCTGTTTGTGAACTTGACTCTGTAAGTTAATATATTCTTATTTACCTATACTTATTTATAGCTAAAGTATGAGTTTTCATGTCTCCTGGGTGAGTCAGTATTTGTTTATTGACTTTTATTTTTCAGAGAGAAACAGAAATTTTATTTTTCCTGGCAGTTGTAGTAATGATAAGATCTCGAAAAACAGGCAGTGTTACTATGTTAAATTATCTTACCTCTAGCTTTGTTTATACAAAAATTGCGAATTTAATACTATGGTTCTATTCTGATATTAGGATGGGTTTGGTTTATGGAGTCTTGTTTGTTCGTAAGTCTATAAATTTACTAAATATATCACATCCTCGCATGAGTGCAAATAAACATATATCTGGCTTTACTAATATATTATTATTTTTTATTAACCGTATCATACATATGTATCTTTATTTTCAGTCATTGGTTTATTAGTTCCGGAACCAACATATAGTGGTCCTGACAAAGTAACATATTTTCGAACTGCCAATGGCCTAGATGATGAAATAAACAATGACAAAAGAGTTGTTTGGATTGTTGCTTTTTACACTGCTTGGAACCCTTCATGTGTGAATTTCGCTCCTGTTTTTGCCCAACTCTCCGCTGAGTGAGTATATAGTTTGATTATATTGTCGGTTTATTACAAAAAGTCACTAAAAACACTTACGATGAAGCTAAATTTTAAACTGCATATTTGTGGATTTTAAGTATATTTTTCAAATAAACAACTAATGTGCATCAAAAGCTACCGCTTCAGTGTCATTCCGACAAGGCGGATGGGTACAAGATCATACCATAGATGAAATTTCTTAAATGTCTGATTATTATCTGCTTCCACACACTCAAAAGATATAAACAAACCAACAATGAGTCCATTTAGATCGCTACTTTCCTCAGTTCTAACTTCTGGTTGTTTTGCTTGCTCCAAAGAAATAACCAAATCCTTAAGGAATCTTTTTTAGTTGAGATCAGGACTCTATCAGGAGGTTCGGTGGCCTCATTCTACAAATGGAGGCAATTGCTCAGTTCTAGAATTATATTTTCAGCATGCTCATGTAATCAAGTGCCCATCCATCATTTTGGAGAAATAATTGTAAAATAATACCCATCAAATTAACACTAAATCTATTATGTCAAAAATAGTTTCATTAAGTATACTATGTCTTGATTTAATAAAGAGAAAATTCAACAAATTACCTAGTGGACAATATATAATGTTAGGTCCTATAAATTATTTATGCATAATAATATATTGAAACAAAAATACAAATTTTTATGTAGTAATTTTCATATTTGAATGTACTTTTTAGTTATGATTTGGATAATTTGAAGTTTGGTAAGATAGACGTTGGTCGTTATCCTGAAGCAGCAGTTAAATACCATGTTAATGATTCTTCGTTGAGCAAACAATTACCTACTATAATTTTATTTAAAGATGGAAAGGAGGCAGTGCGCCGGCCAATGGTTGACTCTAAAGGAAAGTTGGTTAAATTTTTTTTTACTGAGGTATGTATTTGTTATTTATTTAAGTCAACAAGCAAATAAGTGTAAGTGACTATTAGAGGTAGTTTGTGTCTCAGAGAGAGTGTATTTTGAAGCGTTAATTACTTGCTTAAATGTAAAACAAGTTTTTTTTTAAGAACATATATGAACTGTACAAATAATCCTCCTACTTGGATTCAAGAACAGTGACAAACAAGCTTAAATTCTTGGATTGTTCTTATTATGAAAAAAAAAAATACAAAACATTAAAGAAATGGTGTCAAAGGAACTTAATTTAAAAAATTGACTTTAGCCAGATCTCTAATTATTTGTCTGTTATCATATGCCCTACCATCCTGTTATTTATTTTATGTTCACATTTGCTCATTTATCATTTATCTTCTGATAATAAAACAAAACATTTTATCCATTAGTCTTGCTTAATTTTTTTCTTTCACCGTTTCAGCCCTTTGACATCATTTTCATAAGAAAAAAAAAAACCCTTGGGTGATAAATATTCAGGACGCAGTATGTTTAAAAAAAAAATTTAATTGTTTATTTATGCCAACGTTTCAACCCAAACATGTGGGTCATCTTCGTTGAGCTACGTTGGCATAAATAAAAAATTAAATTAAAAAAAAAAAAAGATTGCGTCCTGAATATTTATCACCCATGATATGTAGAACAGTCGACTAACTTTCTTCAATAAAAAAAAACCCTTATTTTTACTATTTAATTTTACAGTTGAAACAATTTGTTCCAATTACCCTGTCATATTTTTTATACAACATTCAATGTAGAGTATATTATTTATGTAGAATATTCAAATATATTTTTTTTATTTATGATGAAAATGAATTAAAAGATTCTTATTGAAAAAAACTGAAAAGTAAATTTATATGCTTCGTTTTTTTTATTGTAGTGATTATAAAATTACTATTGGATAGCTGAACAAATGTTCAAACCTGACTAATTCATTTCATCACTATAGAAATTTTAATCTCATTGGACAAAATTCATATAGATGTTTTTTTTTGCCTATATCATCGACTTGACATCTGAGTTGAATAAAACTTGATTACATTTTCTTCCATAGATAGTAATTACCAAGCTTAAATCATTTTTATTCAAAAGCAAGAAAAAAAATAACGTATCAGTACATTGAACCGTACGATAGTTGTTAAAGTGTTGGTTGATATTACGTACCCAGATCAAAACCAACACTGATATTTTAGGAAGAATTACGCTTAATCATATTTAAAGAGATTTATCAGATTCAAGAAACAAGTGGAGCTAAAAAACTAACAGGCACTCAGTCAATCTTAATACTTCTACGGGACTGATTTAAGCCACGTTTACTTTTACTATATGCTAGATTTTATTAAATTCATAAACAAAAAATCTGGTGTTTCCACTCACACGACTTTCCTACCCATTTCAGAAAAATTGGCAAAATGCTGATGGGTAATTTTATTCTTAAGATAACAAATCAATTATTAATCCACTATATTACATGGTATGAGACGTCTTGTTTTAGCTAAGTTTTTTTTTTTTTTTGTGTGTTGGATGTCATGGAGTGAAGTGATCTTAGGTTTCTTTTCTGTCCTGATTAATTGGCAAAAAGTTGACAGCTTATTTTATTCCTTACCTGCGTTTTAAGGACATAAGGATGTGTGGTTAGAATTTTTCTAATTATAATATCACATTGATTTATTTTTCTTTGTGAATTTCTACTCGTTTAAATGAAGATCTTAACTTTAATAAATATAAATATAACTTTTATTTTTCAGGATAACGTAAAAGCTGCATTTGATTTAAATAATTTGTATAAGGAGTGCAAGAGCAATCCATTGAAGAAAAAAAAGATGTTAGCAGCTAGTGAGGACCATATTAAAAAGGAGTAGGGCTTTTTAGATATAAAGGAAAATTAGATTTTAAAATTTATAAAGATATTGTATTTAGGATCAATTTTAAAATTTACTCAAGTGTCATTTTTAACTTTTAAGATATAAATGTAAGAATGATATGTTTGTTTATCAGTATTTTTTTTTTCTTGAATTGATTTTAAACTCCATTTTTCTTTAATTTTGTTTTTAAAGAACTGATTTATTATTGGAGTGAATAATATCTTCCTTTTTCATTGACTGTCGAACAATCTGCATTTGTTTTAATTATTTAAGATAATGACTTTAAATCTCATAGATTTGGTGCTATTGTGTCATTATGAATAAACCAAAGAGAAGTTTATAGATGTGGCTAAGTTTATGTTAAACTTATCTTCTTGAATGTCATATTTTATTTAAGAAATAATTGTTAGTAAATAAAAAAAATATTAATTAATTAATAATAAATTAATTGTGAACAAATATTCAATTATGTATTATTTATTTTTTCCTCTTCGGTTCTTATTTTATTATGGTAAAGAAATATATATATAAGAAATAAAAACAGAAAAAAATGAACAAGTTTTTATTTAATTCTTAATAAATAATTTTCTTTTAATTAGTAGATATTTTTTAAAATCCTGAAATATAGAAATTTAATGTTTTTTTAATTTACATATTTCTGCTATAAAACGAGCTGCTAAAACAAATATCAAACTGGTTGAACTTTTCATTCACTGAACTGCTGGTTTATTTATTGTTTTGTATGCATGCGTTTATTTTAATTTTATTTAAATGTAATATTTTGGAGATGGTGGCATTCAGGGATTACCGATTTGGTTGTCATCAAATTTATTTATTTAGAGATCAAGGACAACAATGCAGCAGCAGATATTAGAAGAGAATTATTTATATAGGGTCACACTCTTCTTAAGGTCCAAACAAAACTAATCTGCCCTGTGCAGACATAGGGCTCAGAAACTTGGACTGTAACTGAGCGCAACGAACAGATTCTCTTAGTGTTCGAGCTGATAAAACTTAGGAGGATATTTGGCAGAGTATTGGTGTGTGAAATCTGGAGGAGACTAACAAACCAGGAGGTTTATTGTTTATAAAAAGAGGCGAAAGTCATTCAAATGCAGAGGTACCCATCCCTACTGTAGTCCATGGTACAAACCCCTTTTTATCAAATTATTAACATCTGCCTGAAACTTCGTCAATAGCTTCATCTCATCGTAACTTACAACTATTTTATTTAGGAAAACAATTGGAATTGGGGCGTTTTCAATCGGGAGGGAGACCAACTTTGTCTATTTAATTAAGTACTAAAAACTAATAAATACCCATTTGCTCTTTCTACTTGGATCGTAGGCTAATTTGTTCATAAAATCGATTAAAAAAGTGGCTTTCTAAAATATTGACCCGTTTGGCGTGACCTAAACTCCCAAATTTTCGTAGGGGGGTTAAACTCCTCTCTCCCCCACAAAAAAATAAAAGTATAACCAGCCTACCCAAACATATTACTATTTTATCTTTTTTTTTCCTGGGGGTGACCAACACCCTTACAAAAAGAATTATTTATCTGCGAACCAGACTCTCTCCCCCTCCCCTCCCTACATTCCTCTAAATTGCATATCATTGTGTTCCTCGTAACTATTTATTTAAAAAAAAAAACCAGTGTTCCCACAAAAAAAAAGTGAACGCACTGCCCTAAAATGGCATTCAAACATGGCGGACCCGTCGGTTAAAAACTAACTAAAGTTAAAATCGTCATTTGAAGTTTAGTTAGTTTTTTGGTCACTGAGAATCAGCATTTGGCTTAATTTCGTCATAGTTGGTCTTTTATTAAAGGTGGATAGTCATAGAATAATAAAACACGCAAAACTATTAAAATATAATTGGCTTAGGCACTAAAAAAAAAACAGTAAAATAAATTTGTTTAACAAAAAGATTTTCAAGTTGAAAATGAAGCGTCGTTTGTAATTAAACGGCAAAAAATAACGCAAACCCTGCTTAAATAAAACATCTGAAGAATATATTTCTCTTTCTAAAACACTGATTACTTTTTAAAATATTTGAAGCAGTTCCGTAGAAAATGCACTGAAGCTCCCCCCCCCCCCTCAAAATGGTAAAATATTACCATGTTTTATAGAAAAAAATAATTAAAACTATCTCTTTAAGTATTCTTGTTCGTGTAATTACATTTAATAGGACTTCAAGAACCACTAAAACACCATTTCATATAGGTAGTTAATTCCTTTCTTTTTTTTTTCTAATTAATTATCGTTATATGCATACGAAAAAAAAATCTTTCGGGCTGAAGCCCCCCCCCAAAAAAAAATTAAATCATGGATCCACTAGTGGTCATATTAATACCTGTTTTATTTATAAACTAAAACAATATATACCTAATTTGAACTACATATGAATAGTTGCCGGCTTGTTTAGTAAAACTCACATATCACTAGTAAAAAAAAAAGATTTGTATTTCCTTTATATTGTTCGGAAGTTGAACCATATAAAAAAACAATAGGAAATTTTAATATTTAATGCATTATTCTCTCTGCACAAAGAAGGATGGAAAGGGCGAAGTTATAAGTTCTTCAAGGTGAGCGGAACTGATTGTTAGTCTCAAAATGAGTATACACACATGGCCCATGTATGGGCATATTTGTATTCAAAAATATAAATACGAATACCATTTATATTTATGGTACAAATGAATATAAATACGAATATATTCGTATTCATAAAAAGTAATATGAATACAGAAGATACGTATTCACGGCTGTAAATATGAATACGGCCGTATTCATGATTGTAGAAGTGAATACGGCTGTATTTACACATATAAAAGTGAATACGGCAGTATTCACGTTTACTAAAATGAATACGCTTAAATTTACAGAAGTGAATGGAAATATTTTCACAAAATCTTAGTAATGAATACTCTTATTTATTAAAAAAAAATGTATTTATTAAAAAAAAAAGATTTACAATATATATCATTTGTTTTTTATAAATAGTACTATTATTCTCCCTTTTACAATATGTTTTGTTAATTATGTTGCAATGTATTATGTAATGTTAATTATCACATATTCACGACTGTAAATATAAATATGGCCGTATTTACGATTGTAAAAGTGAATACGGCTGTATTCACATTTACTAAAATAAATAGCCTTAAATTTACAGAGGCGAATGGAAATATTTCCAAACAACTTTATTAATGAATACTCTTATTTATTTTTAAAAAATGAATACTCTTATTTATTTAAAAAAAAATTATTTTAAAAATATATTTACTATATATCTCATTTTATTTGTATATATAGTATTATATTCTACCTTATACAATAGAATAGAAAAGAATAGAAAATTAAACTTTATTCTGGGACTAAGTCCCTTTAGAATAACAATGATGAGTTAATACAAAGTAAAATACAAATCTGGCCAAAAACTAACTTATAAAAATTTTAATATTATATACATTTTTTAAAAAGTATGTAACCAGTAAAAAATAAAATATATATACAAATGAACACAAAATCTTCTCATAATTACTTAATTGTGATGAAAAAAAAAAGAAGAGAAATTACATATTTATATATACATAACTACACAATTTATAAACAATAGGCTATCTAATAGAAAACTAACTTAATACAAAATGTAATAATATCTACAGTGGTTTATATAATAATATACAGACACTAAGATAAAATAAAATCTTAGGATACTTGTGGTGTAATGGAAAAATAAATTAATAAAAAAAAAATAAATATGTTATGTTAATTATCATTCTTAATGTTTGTACGTAATATAAATTGCCGAGCCTCTGTATTTATAGCAAAAGTGAATAAGCTTAAATTTATAGAAGTGAATGCAGCTATTTTTACAAAATCTCAGTTATCAAAAAAAATATATTTATTAAATTGTTTATATAAAAAAAATATATTTACTATATATTCCATTTTATTTTTATTTATAGTATTATATTCTTCGTTTTACAATATATTATCTTAGTTATCACTCGGAATGTTTGTACGTAATATAAATTCACAAGCATTTTTTTTTATTGGGTCCAGAGGGTGGGGTCTCTCCCGTACCAGAATGGAAAGCCTACGTTTATTGTCCTAGACGTACAGACTTTTCGGTGAACTGTTTACTTATTGGCTCCTAATGGTAATAAAGATAAGTTTAATAGACGGCCAGGGTAGGTACAACACTCGGAACGATACCTGGAAATCCCATCGGGAAGTACGTGTACACGACAGAGTTGAAGCAAGGAAAGGGGCAAGAGCTGTCAAATTTGAATAGTGACCTTTCCGGACCTGCCGTTCAGTGTGTAATGTGTGAATATATTTGTTAATGTAGTTAATGTAGTTTTGCATATAAAACAATGTATGAAGTTGATAGCGAAACTGAGTATGTTTGTTTAGCAGGCTCTTGTAATCTGGATGACAGAGATTTTTTTTTTCACGAGAGTACCTGCTCTTTAAGAATTTTCCAATATTCTCACCTACTCAGAAATTTTATTGGGGGAAAGGAGAAAGGCGATGCCCGAAGAATATAATAGTATATCTAAAAAAAAAACTGGTTTATATAGACATTTTTTTAAAATAAATAATTTGATAAATACATTTTTTTTTATAAATAAGAGTATTCATTAATAAGATTGTGTGAAAATATTTGCATTCGCTTCCGTAAATTTAAGCGTATTCATTTTAATAAACGTTAATAATGCAGTATTCATTTTTACTAGTGTAAATACAAAGGCTCGGGAATTTATAATACGTACAAACATTACAAGTGATAATTAACATAACATAATACCTTGTAACATAATTAACAAAACATATTGTAAAAGGAAGAATATAATACTATATATACAAATAAAATGAGATATATAGTAAATATATTTTTTAAATAATTTTTTTTTTAAATAAATAATTTAATAAATATATATTTTTTTTATAAATAAGAGTATTCATTCATTAATAAGATTGTGTGAAAATATTTGCATTCGCTTCCGTAAATTTAAGCGTGTTCATTTTAATAAACGTTAATAATGCAGTATTCACTTTTACTAGTGTAAATACAAAGGCTCGGGAATTTATAATACGTACAAACATTACAAGTGATAATTAACATAACATAATACCTTGTAACATAATTAAAATAACATATTGTAAAAGGATGAATATAATACTATATGTAAAATAAAATGATATATATAGTAAATATATTTTTTTAAATAAATAATTAAATAAATACATTTTTTTTAATAAATAAGATTATTCATTAATACGGTTGTGTAAAAATATTTGCATTCACTTCTGTAAATTTAAGC